ATGAGATTTTGGTGGGGACACAGACCCCAACCATATGAGTTTCCAACACATGAACTTTGGGGAACACATTCAAACCATAACACTTAAGGGTAATTTTAAAAAAATAAGCTTGTTGAATTTCCTGTTTCACTCTTAACCTTTTCACTTCCTCATCACATAAACATGATCTTGTGTAGTACGGCACAAATTAAAAATGAACGGTAATGTCCTTAATGTTTAATATTGCTTAATGTTCACTCAGAGTTCATGCTTATGAAAGTGTAAAAGTCTTCAATGCAGGCTTTTGTTTTTGTTTTTTCTTAATCTACCACGATGTGTTGGTTTTGAAATTGCAAATCTCTATGCATACACCTACATACAACATCCTTTCACAGAATTTTCTTATGTAACTTGGGAAAAATTAGGGCACTTTGAAAGTGAACTTCAGAAATATCATATGCTAAGAATTCAGCCCTTATAACTTCAACTATCTAGAAATAACTGAGAAGCAGGAAGGAAAAGAGGTCTCTGAACAATCAAATAATAACAGCTAACATTTACAGAGTGTTTACTGCCTGCCAAGCACTGTTCTATCTGGATTACAAACATTACCTCACAAGAAACAAATGAGGGTGAGGATATGGAGAAATTGGAGCCTTTATACACTGTTGACAATGTAAAACAGTGTAACTGCTATGGAAAAGAGTATGGTGGCTCCTCAAAAAATTAAAAATAGAATTATGTATGATTCAGCAATCCCACTTCTGCATATATATACCAAAAGATGAAAACAAGATCTCAATATGATATTTTCACTCTCATGTTTATTCCAGCATTATTCACAATAACCAAAATGTGGAAGCAACCCAAATGCCCATTGATGGATGAATAGATAATGTGATATACACAGGCAACGGAATATTATTCAGCCTTAAAACCTTGAAGACTTCGAACTAAGTGAAATAAGTCAGTCACAAAAAGACAAAGTGTATGAAGCTACTTCTTTGAGGTATTTGATGCAGTCAAACTCAGAAACAGGATGTAGAACTGTGGTTTCCAGGGCTAGGGTAGGAGAAAATGGGGAGCTCTTGTTCAATGGATATAGAATATCAGTTTTGCAATGAAAAAGTTCTAGAGATCTGCTGAACAACGTGAATATGATTAATACTACTGAACTGTACACTTAAAAATGGGCTCAAAAATTTTTTCGGCTCCCACATAAGAGTGAAAACATACAGTGTTTATCTTTCTGTGCCTGAATTATTTCACTTAATATAATGTCCTCCAGGTTCATCCATATTGCCTCCAATGACAGAATTTCATCCTTTTGTATACATATTTTGTGTATATGTTCCACATTTTCTTTATTCATTCATCTGTTAATGGTAGGGTGAATATAGTTAATGATAGTTTATTGTATATTTTCAAGAAGCTAAAAGGGAGGATTTTGAATGTTTGCAACACAAAGAAATGATAAATGTTTGCAGTGAAGGTATATGCTAATTAGCCTGCTTTGATCATTGTACATTGTATACCTGTATTGATATATCACTCTGTATCCCATGAATATGTACAATTATTGTGCATTAACTGAAAACTAAAAATGAATGGAAATACATAATTAAAATGGTAACTTTTATGTTATGTGTTTTTAATCACAATTAAAAATACACAAAAAAATAACATAAAGAAAGAATTGATAAACAAAATGTGGAATATATATGCAGTGGAATATTATTCAGACTTAAAAAGGAATTAAATTCTAAATACAAGCTACAACATGGATGAACCTTGAAGATATTATGCTAAGTTAAAAAATTCAGACATAAAATGACAAATATTGTTATGATTCCACTTATATGAGTACCTAGAGTGGTCAAAATCATAGAGTCAAAAAGCAGAATGGTGGTTGCCAGGAGCTGAAGGGAGGAGAGCATGGGGGATTGTTGTTTAATGAGTTTCAGTTTGGGAAGATAGAAAAGTTATGATGATGGGTGGTGGTGATGTTCGCACAATAATGTGAATGTGCATAATTGCAGTGAACTGTATACTTAAAGTGGTTAAAATGACAAATATGTTATATATATTTTGCCACAATTTTCTTAAAAAATAAGGTATGAGATTATTCATGCACAAATGCAAGACTGGGCTGGTGGGACTACAAGCCTTGCTTTTTGATGCTTGTGCTAATATATACACATCCAAAAATCTAAAAATTAAAAACAATGAGGCAGTGTGTGGTAAATTACAGATGGCCACAAAGTCTTCACTACACCTTCAATTAAGAGGTGGACTCATTTTTCTCTTGAATCTGGGCTGTCTTAGTGGCTTTTTTGGCCCAACGAGATGTGATGGAAATCACTTCTGGGACTGCAGAGGCTAGATCATATGAAGTTTTGTAGCTTCCTCCTGTTTTGCTTGGAATAGCTCCCTTTTTTCCCATTCTACCTCCAAGTTCTCCCTGACAAAACCCAAACACCATGGTATAAGAAACCCAAATCAGAGGGAAAGCCCAAGTGTAGGCACTCTGATAAATAGCTCCAACTGAGCATCTAGAGATCAGCCAGCCTCAACTGCCATCAATATAACATCTATTAGAGGCTGATATTAACTACAGCCCCAGTTTGACATCTGACTGTAAATGCCAGAGACTGCAAGCTAGGACTGCCCAGCCTACAGAATCACGGCAGATAAAATTTTTAGCCACTAAATTCTGGAGTGACTTGTTATGTAGATACCATAATGATGTCTATTTTAACAAACCTGAGCCTTAAAGCTGAAGTGATTGCCCATGGTCTCTCTGCCAGTAAGCAGAGGAACTCACACTTAACCAAGTCTTTCTGGTTCTAAAGCCTACATTCCTGACTACTAAATACACAATTTCTCAGTCAAAACAGCTACAACAGTTGTGTTTTTTTTCTTTTTACCTCCAAAAAAATCCTGTATTTGAATTCATAGTGGAGTTCTTCCATATACCTCAAGTCTAAGGGTGGTAAGAATAACCTTGATATGCATAGCACTTTCTGCAGTTGTGCACTGAACAGGCTCCAGAGCCATATGAACCAGTCCTGAGCAAACTCTAACCACTATCCCTAACCAAAACTTCTCTTGAGTATTAGTCATCATTCTAATAAAGGGATTATCTGTTGTTTAGGTACCTAAGGAACTTCAAGGAAGAATAGGGGCTGATAAGAGAACTCATGGAAGAATGAGAAGAGATATTTCAGAATTTAATTAAAAATGGGGATTGAAAATTTAAAAAATACAGTAGTTTAAGGTCATTTAGTGTAGGGCAAACTTTCCTGCAGTGCTCAGGGACCCCATGATGATGCCACTGTATAGGAGAAACATTAACTCAGGACATTTTTAATGAAAACCTGTATCATCAAGGTACAAATAAGTCCTAGAGATGAAGGGATACATATTACATGCTCTACCTGAAAATGTTAAAACTAGTTTTGATATCTTATTATATATAACACTCATAGCAGTGAGAAAATATCTTTAACATTTATTACAATGATTTGTGGTGTGAAATTTTCTAAACTTGAGGTAGGAAACCTTTCTTACTCATGAGTATTCATTTCAGGCCCCACTACAGTGCTTTTTACAAAAGGAGGAATGCTAATAAAATGAAAATCACATTCCATTGAATTAAAAATTCAGGACAATTGTGCTGAAATAAACCTTACTGAATGCCTTCTAAATATACCATGCCCTGCACTAGAAACTTTCGTAATTCCTATTTATTCTTCAGGATAATCTAGGAAACAAATCGACAGAAGCAAATAGCATAAAAATTCATTTTTGTCTTCAATTACAAGAAGAATGTAACAAGAAAGCTGAGATTGCAATGAATAGTACATGAATATGATGAGGTTTGGTTTTGTTTGTCCTAACAGAGCTCCAAATCAAAAAACAGATACATGGTTTGACAGGTGGAATGGGATAGCTAAAACTGTGGGTGCCTAAGACAAGCTGAAACCTAAGGTGCAGAACCATACTGGGGAAAGAGGGGAAAAACTAGTAGGTCTGGTATCAATCAAGAAAAGAAGAAGAAACAGGATTCCCAAGCCTTCTTTAGCTTTTTCTTCTCCAGCAGAATAGCCTAGTCAATGCTACGTCTTGTCAAATCGTACCTTACACGGCTTTTATGCACACTAACTTTCCTAAGAAGTATTTGTATCTATTTAAATCTAGCGATTTCAGCCCACATTAATTACATGTATATAAGGTCAATAACACAGGATGTAAAAGGTAAAAATCTCAATTTCAGTCCATCTGTGCGACATTGTGCAAGTCAATTACACTCTCTGAAGACAATTCCTTATCCATTAAACAACAAAAAAGGTGATTAAGTTGATCCTTGCCTACATGTCAGAGTCGTGTAGAGTTTTTAATGACACTCATGTGAAATTCCTTTGGACTGTAAAATACTATTACTTACGTGCAAAGACAATGTCCCGAAATCACAGAAGGGATGACTTAAGATTAACATCTTTAACCGCGCCCCCGTCCTTCCTTTCAAAAAAAAAGTTACCTATTTTCAGTTGAATGATTTTGGTAATATCTCTATTGGAACCTATCTACTTCGCAAATGGCAAAGGCGAGGTCCAGAGGGTATCCAAGACCCCAGAGAACCAGTGGAAATCAAGACCAAACCACACGGTGGAAACTGGTTCCGGCGCATCAGACTCAGTGCTTCCGGCATGGCGCTTTAGTGTCACGTGAAAGACCAGCACCTCCTAAGCCTTCCGAAATGCCACGCTGAACATGGCTGCCGCGCTTCGATGCTTCTTTACACACATAATATGGGCACGGGTTGATGGTCCAGCCCCGGATGACGACACTCCGGAAATGTGCGAGCGGCGGCGGAAGCGGAAGTGCCTCAGCAGTGGGGGCCGGGGAAGTGTCTGTAGCGTCCCTCCCTCTCAACCACAATAACAGACGGAGGGTCGGCGTAGGTGAGGCGGCGGCTGAGTGGGCCTGGGGACCGGGAGCGGGGTGGCAAAGCCAGGAGTGCGTGTGGCAGGGCTGAGGTAGCTGGATGGGGGTTCTGGAACTTCCGACCGCTTAAGCTCGGCCTCTGGCCCCCTTCGGGCCTAGAGCTCCCTGAGAGATCAGGGGTTGAATTTGTAGTTCCTGGCCTTCTAGGCCGTGCTTGCGGGGTTTGCCTGCTCCTCTGCCTGGCCCCAAAATCCAGCCTAAAGAACCCTCTCTGGGCCCCAGTTTCCTCAATCAAATGTCTGAGGGTGTTGCACTGGACAGCTTCTGTGACTGTCTCCCACTCCGGGCGTCACGAATTTCATGATTTTAATGTTAAGTCGCTGTTTCGGCCTGTGAAGTGAAGGAGGCCTGTGTTCAGAGTACTGAGAGGATGTCCGTGAGCAGGAAGCAGTGAACACATCTTTGAGAGGCTGCCACGCCTGAGTATCAGGATCCCTGAATTCTAGTTTTACCCCTTCCACCTACACACTGTGTGACCTTGTCTAGGTCCATTAGCCTTTCTGTGCTGCAGTTTGCTTATCTGTGTTGGATGCCTTTGATGTCCGTGCCCTAGCTGTGGAAATCAGATTCTTAACTCCCCTTTTACGGAGCCTTTACGGACCTGAAAAGCATGTTCTCCCTGCACTCTGCACATCCAGAATTTGACTAAGAGATGTCTACCGTGTTTCTTTGCAGACACCAAGCTGGCCAAGGGCATCTGGGCACTTAGGAAGGTTCCTGTGCAGTGAGAAGCTCTGTCCAGAAAACTTTGTTTTATACACCTAAACCAACAGTGTAAACCACTACCAAGTGAAAAACAGGAGACCTTAATTTTTGTTCCAAAGTTTCTGTTAACTTGATGGTTTACTTTGGCCAAATCCCTTCCTCTTTCTGAACTTGAGATTTTTTTTTATCAGCCAAAGGAAGACGTTGGATTAGATCACTGGTTTTTCATCCCCTTGTCCATTCCCCCAGCACAAGTGAAGGATAAAATAATAGTTCTATAAAGCCATAATTTTCTCAGGGAGGGAGGAGGCCCAGTTTGGAGGGTATGTGTTACATAGGCATAGACTGAAAAAAATCCGCTTGTGATTTTTAACTTTCATTTTGAGAATTAACATTTTAGATTATCTGTAAGCCTTCTTTCCCCTCTTTAAAATGTGTGATGCTGTAATTCTGATATCCTCCTTGGGTAAAGAATGTAGAGTTTTGTGTGCCTCTTTGTTTAAATGGCTGTGTGCCCAGAGGTACACTCTTTATATTTAGTCAAACAGATACTAATGCATAGTAGAGGAGAAAAAGGAACAGCTAGATTCCTGTAAGGTAGGGTGATATAGTGAAGTAAAATTGGTAGTATACTAAAATGAAATAAGGTGGTATAGTGAAATAAAATTAAAAAGGAGTTGAAGACCTGGATCCCTGCTTCACACTGGTACATTCTGCCTCTGTGACTTTGGATAAGACATCTAACGTCTCTAGGTCTCACTTTCCTTATCTGTAAAACGAAGGGTTGAACTGGATGATTTCTAGGCCTTTTTCAGCACCATAATCCTGTGGGGGGTTTTTGTTTTGTTTTGTTCGTGTGTGGTTTTTATCTGAGCAGTTTGCTGGATGTGGTGTGGTATTTCCTTAGACGAGAGACTGTCCTAGTCAGTAGATACACTAGATAGTCTATGATGTCAGTTAAGGTCTGTGAGGGCAAATTAAGTGATATGCAAGTTTACTTTGATATGAGCAAGCTGAAACCAATAGAAACCAAAAGAAAGGCATGAGAAACTTGAAGAGCCGGGAAGCCCTTGACCAGATAGGATCCTTGAGAATATTGGGAAATTTTAAGTGAGAGGTGGGTATTTTTCATGAGGATAAAAGTAATTTGAGTTTGGGATGGGAAGGAGATTTGAATTGACAAGATAGGAGGAGAACACTTTTTGGAAACAACTCTGGTTTAAGAATGTGCTTGCAACACCAAGACAAAAGTAATGCTTCCTGTGGCTAAGGTCAGCTAAGCAGGCAGCCACAGAATGACTGTAATATACCTAAGGTGGCCATAGACCACTGTGTGGGAGCCTAAATTAAATGGACCATAAACCCTAATTTGTGAAGTAGGGTGTGGTCAGATGCAGTTCTATCAGAGCATCTAGAAGCCTTTCTCCAAGCACTGGGGCATTGCTCTGGAATGCCGGAAGACAGCCACGGTGGCAGAGGACTGACTTGATGATAGGATGTTTAGTGTAACCTGGGAAGTCTGTATCCCAGCCTGAACATTGACACTATTTAATCTTGGGCAAGTGATTTGTCACCTTATCCTCTCTGGTTCTGTTTGTTCATCTTAAAAATTCGGGATCACTGGATGAGCTTCGATGTCTGTGAATATGAACCCCCTGAAATCGTGTATGTATTTCTGCTTGCACGAGTCTGGAAAATAGATGTGCCACTTTCATCATATTCTCAGATGGGTTTGTGACCCACAAAAAATTGAGAACTGTGTGATTAAGTAGTCTTTCAGGTCCTCTTCAACTTTTAACATTCTGGGATTCTATGATTCTGTCATTTCTGACATTTCCTTAAGGTTCAGAGTCTGAGGGTCTAGAAGTTGCTAAGCCTATAGGTAACACTTGGTACTGCAAAGTATAGTCTTTATATATAACATTCTCCTCCTCATTTATGCAGGCATAGCTCAGAGATACTGCAGGTTTGGTTCCAGACTACTGCAATAAAGCAAGTCATAAATTTTTTGGTTTCCCTGTGTTTACAGAAGTTATATTTTACAATGTAGTGTAATCTATTAAGTGTGTAACAGCATTATATCTAAACTAATGTATATGCCATAATTTTAAAGTACTTGATTTTTAAAAATGCTAACAATTAATCTGAGCCTTCAGCGAGTCATAATATTTTTGTTGATGGAAGGTCTTGTCTCTGTCTTGATGGCTGCTGACTGATCAGGGTGGTGGTTGCTGAACACTGGGGTGGCTTGGCAGTTTCTTAGGACAATAGTGAAGTTTGCCTCATTGATTGGCTCTTCCTTTTAGGAAATATTTTGTTGTAGCATGCGATGTATGATAGCATTTTACTCACAGTAGAATTTCTTTCAAAATTAGACTCAATCCTCTCAAACCCTGGCGCTGCCCTATCAACTGAGTTGATGTAGTATTCTAAATCCTTTGTTGTCATTTCAATAATGTTTACAGCATCTTCACCAGAAGTAGATTTCATCTCAACAAACCACTTTCTTTGTTCATCTGTAAGAAGCAACCTCTCATCTGTTCAAGTTTTATCATGAGATTACAGCAATTCAGTCACATCTTCAGGCTGTCCATCCGATTATAGTTCCACATCTGCAACAACTTCCTCCACTGAAGTCTTTTGTTGTTTTTTATTTCAATCCTGCTCCTTCTATAACCACAGAAGTCTTGAATTCCTCAGAGTCATCCATGAGGACTGGATTCCAAACTCTTGTTAATGTTGATATTTTGACCTCCTCCCATGAGTCACAGGCGTTCTTAATAGCTTCTATTAAGCTATTAATATATCCTTTCCACAAGATTTTGATTTAGTTTGCCCATATCCATCAGAGGAATCACAGTCTATAGCAGCTATAGCCTTAGGAAATTTCTTCCTTTTTTATTTTTTTGAGACAGAATCTAGCTCTGTTACCAGGCTTGAGTGCAGTGGTGTGATCTTCGCTCACTGCAACCACTGACACCCTGGTTCAAGCAATTCTCCTGCCTCAGCCTCCCGAGTAGCTGGGATTGCAGGCACGTGCCACCACGCCCAGCTAATTTTTGTATTTTTAGTAGAGATGGGGTTTCACTATGTTGGCCAGACTGGTCTCAAACTCCTGACCTTGTAATCCGCCTGCCTCGGCCTCCCAAAGTGCTGGGATTATAGGTGTGAGCCACCACGCCCAGCTAGGAAATTTGTTTCTTAAATAATATGATTTGAAAGTTGAAAGTTCTTGATCTATTAGCTGCAGAATGGATATTGTGTTAGCAGGCATGGAAACAATATTAATCTCCTTGTTTATCTCTAAGGGACCTCTTAGATGACTAGGTCCATTGTCAATGAACAGTAAGATTTTGAAAGGAAACTTTTCTGAGGAGTAGATCTTAGTAGAAGTCTTAAAGTATTTAGTATGCTATGCTGTAAACAGATGTGCTGTCATCCAGGCTTTGTTGTTCCTTTTGTAGAGCACAGGCAGAGGAGATTTAACATCATTCTGAAGGGCCCTACGATTTTCAGAATGGTTAGTAAGCATTGGCTTCAACTTCATGTCACCAGCTGCATTCTCTAACAAGATAATCAGCCTGTCCTTTGAAATTAGGCATTTACTTCTCCCTAGCAGTGAAAATCTGATATGGAATATTATTCCAATGGAAGGCTGTACATACTGAAAATCTGTTGTGTACTGTAGCTCCTTTCAGCCGTTATCAAAGGTCGATCTTTTGGATAACTTGCAGCTTCTCCATCAACATTTGCTGCTCCACCTTGTGCTTTTCTGTTGTGGAGACAACTTCTTTCCATAAGCTCATGAACCACCCTCTGCTAGCTTTCAACTTTTCTTCTAAAGCTTCCTCACCTCTCTCGGCCTTCATGGAATTGTGGAGACCTAGGGCCTTACTCTGAATTAGGCTTTGGCTTAGGGAATGTGGCTGGTTTGAACTTCTATCCTTACAACTCAGACATTCTGTATATCAGCAATAGGCTGTCTTGCTTTCTTATCATTTGTTTATTCACTGGAGTAACACTTGTAGTTTTCTCAAGAACTTTTTCTTTGTGTTCACAGCTTAGCTAATGTTTGGCACAAGAAGCCTAGGTTTTGGTCTGTCTTGGCTTTCAACATGACTTCCTCACTAAGGTTAGTCATTTCTTGCTTTTGATTTAAAGTGAGAGATGTTCAACTCTTCCTTTCACTTGAGCACTTAGAGGCCATTGTAGAGTTCTTAATTCGTCTAATTTCAATATCGTTGTGTCTCAGGAAATAGGGAGGCCTAAGGAGAGGGACAGAGATAGGAGAACAGCTAGCCAGTGGAGCATTTAGAACGACACCATATTTATCAGTCAAGTTTGCCATCTTATATAGCATGGTTTGTGGTACCTCCAAAACAATTAAAGTAGTAACATCAAAAATCACTGATCATAGATCACCATAACACATGTAATAGTAATAATGAAAGGATATGAAATATTGTGAGAATTACCAAAATGTGACACAGAGACATGAAGTGAGCATGTGCTGCTGGAAAAAGGCACCAATAAACTTGCTTGACGCAGTGTTTCCACAAACCTTCAATTTGTGAAAGACACATTATCTTTGAAGCCCAATAAAGTGAAACACAATTAAGGTATACCTGTACTCACCTGTCCCTCATGCTCCATGACTTCTCAGCAAGACTCCCTCCAACTCATCTTTCTCTAATGCCAGTAACTGGACTCCCCTCCTTTACTCTTTTTTTAACCTGCTACTGCTTTGTACCTTCTCTGCCTTGTTGAGTTTCTCAAGTGAATTGAAGGCAGGGTGTTTAGTGGCAAGTGGTATTTTGGAGGTAGGAGTGAGAAAAGAGCACAAGACTAGTGATGGCAATTTTCTCCTCACTTGATTTGGTTCCTCTTCCAACTAAAAAGCGAATAAGAGAAAGGGTGCACATTAAAAAGGGATACCAGCCGGGCATACTGACTCACGCCTGTAATGCCAGCACTTTGGGAGGCCGAGACGGGCAGATCACTTGAGGTCAGGAGTTTGATAGCAGTCTGGCCAACATGGTGAAACCCCGTTTCTACTAAAAATACAAAAATTAGCCGAATGTGGTGGTACATGCGTGTAGTCCCAGCTACTCGGGAGGCTGAGGTGGAAGAATTGCTTCAACCCAGAAGGCGGAGGTTGCAGTGAGCCAAGATCGCGCCATTGCACTCCAGCCTGGGTGACACAGCGAGACTCCGTCTCTCGAAAAAGAAAAAAAAATGATAGCATCACCACTTACTTGGGAGTTTGTGTGAATTTCATGTTTTCTTTCTCATATAGGGAAACCAGGCCCCTATTCATCAGTACCTGAGATGAAATGCTCAGCATAGCCCAGCTGGGTATTTCACTTAAATGAAGATGAAGCCAACTTTAGCTGAAGCAACTTTATTGTCCTTTATCAATTATCAAGACTGAGTAAGGGTGGGAGAAAATAAAATTTGTTGACTAAGGAAGCTTTTTATCTCCTGAACATTTTCAGACATCTACTTGAACTTGAGAGGACTGGTAGATTTCTCCTGGCTGTAAGTCCTGTCAGCCTCCTATATATAAGATAAAGATCTTTTCCTTTACCCTAGTGTTCATCTCCACAAGTCCCTTCCCCACGATAGACTTAGGGCAGGGGCGTCACTATTCCACCTGCCAAGTAAGAACTAAAAGACCTAAGTCTTCAATTCTAGCCATGATGTAAGAAATATGAATCGTTTCATCTAAAATTTTGTCAGTCCTGCTAATTTAAAATTTAGGCTTTTTGCTAGTTAGTGTTAAAGGATACTGTAGGTTAAGGTTTTTGTCAGCTTCCTGGAGATCTAACCTCAGGGTAATATTGTATAACATCTCTGTGAGTAAATATTTTTTAATTCTCAATAAGTGGAGTTTTATAAATGCAATGATGTTTAAGGTTCTGGGTATTTAGTCTAAAAATTCAAGTATAATTTGTACACTAAGGCTACTAAATCTAATTTACACAAAAGCACTACATTGTAAAATCCTAAGGAACAATCAAAGGTGGAATCAGCAGAGGAAGATGTTATTAGGTGGTGTGAATTTGACGAAGAAAAAGGAGGAAGAAGGGATTTTAAAAAAAGGAAAAAAGCTTTTTATTAAAGGAATAAAGAATCAAGAGCATGATCTCCATGAAGAATTGTCAGGATTCTTAAAGCTGAATACGTGCTAAATTATAACAACTGGAGGATTAGTCTGAGCATCTAGGTAATTTGTGGGTGGATTAGTCTTTGCTGGTTAATAGTCGTGTTGAGGCTTTTACATGCTACAGAGTAGCTGTTATATGTGTCACTGGAGTAAAATCTGATTGCATTATTGTCTCGGCTATAAGTTTGTTGCTGAGATCATTGAATGCTGTGGTAGCAAACGCCCCATAGGAGCATGAAATGGTTTTTAGAAGCAGCCTTGAACCTATGGGATGTATATGGAATAATGGAAAGACTGATGGATATTCATACGTTAGATATTTGAGGGTATATTGTGAGCAAGGACTTGTTATCACCTAGAGGCAAGATTTTTTAGCAGAAACATGACTAATAAATCACTACACAAACTGCTATGGAAGCATATGTTAAGTCCCACAGGAAGCTCAAATGAAGGCGTGAGTAGGGGAAGCTTTTACGGAGGACTTACGTTTAAGCTAGATTTTTACAGGCAGTTTTCTAGGCAAAGCAGGGAAGAGAAGGACATTTCCAATCAGAGTTAAAAGCATATTAGGAATGAAACACCAATGGTTGTTTGGGGGAACGAAGAAGATACTGGTCTGCTAGAGTGAGTATACTGAGAGCAAGTGGTAAGGATTGGAAGAAGATAAGACTGGAACATCTGGTGTTTTTAGATTAGATTGGAAATATTTTATCCTCTGAACCAGGATTTCTTGTAGGCCGATTGTTTTGTTTTGTTTGGCAATGTATATTGTACTTCTTAAAAACAATCTGAAAATGTCAAATGATGGCGAATAATATGAAATGAAAAGTAAAAGTTCTTTTCTGCTTTCCTAAACCTCTGTTATCACTCCTCAAAGGTTACCAGTTAATGTTTTGTTGTCATCTTTCTTAAAATGTTGTACGCAGACACAGTATATTTGTCTTTTTTATCATACTTTTTTAAAAAAAGTTTTAGGGGGTAATCTTTTTAATTTTTAAAATTATGTTGTTGTTAGAATCGTACTTTAGATGTAGTCTATGTTTTGCTTTTTTCACTTAGCACTATAAATCAGGGGACTGTTTTAAAAAGATAACTGCGGCTTCAGTGTGGAGTATACCATAGTAAGCATTTATTCAGTAAATTACTTATGGCAGGCATAGTGTCTGCTAAGCTTTTCCTCGACCCTGAGGATACAGTGATGGGTATCATTTAGGAAGCCATTTCAGTAGCGCACATGAATGTTATTAACTCCCAAAACTAATGGGAGTGGATGTAAGAACTGTACTGAGATAAAATTGATAAGAATAGCCAATCAATTGTCTGTGGGAAATGAGAAATCAGAATATATTTAGGATGATTTCAAGGTTTATAATTCAGGAATTTAGTAAAACACATTAGGAAAATAGGTATGTTTATTTGCATATATCTGTATTTTGTTTTGGGAAGGGGGAGGGTTCGTGATATGAAGCGTTCATTTTGGACATAATGTTTTTGGAGGATGTTCAAGTTATTGACGTGAAAATTTCTGATAGGCAGAGGAAATAAAGTTCAGAGCTCAGGAGAGGTAAGAAGTAGAGTTGGAAATTTTTTTCTTTTTTTGCTTTTCTTTGTGTATGTGTGTGTGTGTGTGTATATATATATATACACATATATATATATTTGTAGTAGCTAAATCCTTGCGAATGGGTACAATAGCCCACGGAGAAGAGGGCTCGAGGATGAATTAGCAAAGGAGACTGAACAGTGGTCATAGAGGAACCACAAGAATGGAGAATGTCACTTTGGGAGCCAGAGGATGAGATGGTTTCAAAGGAGTGGTCAGCAGTGTCCCATAATACAAATGGGTCAGATGGGGAAGCACTGGAAAGAGGCTATTGGATTTGTTGACTACATGTTCAGTGTAACCTCAGAGGTTTCAGGAGCTATCATAAGATGGAAAAATTCACTTGGAGCAGGCAGGGCAGTAAACAAGAAAAGGTGTGCAGTAATATAATCAGAAGCAGTTGAGTTTATTTATAGCTTTTCTTTTAGCTTGGGCAGTTCTGAGTATGCACTTTATTTTTCCAGAGGCCTGTTAGCCAAAATGTGATGGACAACGTAGGAGTAAGCTTCTGAGAACTTAAGATACATGTCACAAATTCAGGGTAGCATAGCCCATATACCTACTTTTTGCAGAATTTTTTAGTCTCACACTATGAGGTACCTGTTGATGCCAGTCCACACACATTGATTTGTCTAGTTTCTCAGGCCATACTGGTTAGAAACAACAAATGAGGGAGTGTGTGTGTGTGTGTGTGTGTGTGTGTGTGTTTGGGGTATGAGAGGCAAGCATGCTGACAGCCTCAAGAAGTAAATAGCACATAACCTTTCAGTGAGGGAAGAGGAGACTGGAACACACACACAGAGGCACAAGAAATGATGAAGATTTACTTAGCCTAGTAGTGTGTCCATTTACTGCTGAGGCAAAAGAACCCCAGGAACTGCATGTACTTAAAGTACCCTCTGCCCACCAGGTGCCTTTCTTCTACTGAGATGCCTGAATGCTTGGGTTCTTGAAGTGTATTGCTCTTCTCTCATTTTTAAGATGCTTTAGGAGTTTCCTATCACATTGAGGATTAAGACCCCTGCTAGCAGTTCAGCCTCATCTTATTCCCTTTTTATCACCCTCTGTACCCTAATACCTTTGGTTTTATTTCAGTTCCTTAAAAGAGCCAAGCTCCTTTGCAGAATCCAGCACATGCCTGTGTAGCTCCAAGAATGCTTTTCTTCTTTCCTACTTTTTGCAGTGTTAATTCCTGCTCTCCCTTCAGTTATCGGCTCAATTGTCTTTTCCTTAGGAGAATCATTAGTGGCTCTGGCCCGTTTGTTATATGAGGCTTTAGAACTGTGTTTACTGTCTTTGTAGCAGTTACCTCCTTGTGTAATTCTGAGCTCATTTGTGTGGTTATTTGATTATGTATCTCCACTTGCCTCTGGGCTCTTTGTTTACATTGGCCCAGAGTATACAAGTGGTATTCAAAATAAATGTGCCAAGGCATATTTAAATGAATGTGAATGCACCTCTTTTCAGTTGTCATCCTGTGCCTACTCCATCTACAAAGCCATTAATGTTAAAGAGACCAGTATTTCCTATAAACTTCCCTTATTAAAATTCCTGGACAATTTGACAGTCAAGGTGTTAACTCCACATGCTGATCAATAGAACAAAAAACCATCTGGGTGCTCATGCAACCCATTTTCTCTCTGCTTTCCCTCTCCATTCCTCCCCTCTCCCCTATTTTCTCTCTGTTTTCGTCCTTCTCTAAAGCTTATTTTAAAAACAAAATGTGCATGTGATACAAAAGTGAAATACCATCTCAATATTCACAAGAGAGGGAGAAGGGATGTTGCATTCTTTCTCTGAAATTGTATATAAGCTTGTGTTTATTTTTTAGGAGTTCTCTGGTTTTTATCAGATTCACAAAGGGGTCCATGACTAATCTAATCCCTGACTTTATAGGTGAGAGAATGAAGAATTTTAAAGATTGTTGCAAGTTTATAGAAGTAATTTGGGGGCAGAATCAAGATTAGAACCCAAGAATGTCCTCTAGTTTCTACTATGTTAGAAGCAGTCCTAGAACCACAAGCTCCTGGAGCTGGAAGAGGTTTTGATTCCTCATTTAATGATCACATGTTACATATGAAGAAATTGATACTTGGAGAAATTGAGTGAATAAGCTAAGAAGCAACAATACAAATTAAAACACAGTACTCATGATTCCTGGATTTTTGCTCATTCTAAATAATGCACATTTACATTATCTTCAGAAGTTGATTCTCCACTCATCTTCAGAAAAAGATGTTCTGTGCTTTTTGCACAGAACAAATTAATGTTTTTATTAATTTGAATGTGATATGTACCATTATGATACCTTTGCCTGTGTGTGTTTGAGAATAAACATTGTTTAACCTGTGTTTTAATAGGGGGTATGTTTTTTTAGACTACTTCATTCTCTGTTTGCTTTTCAGGTACTTTGAACTCAAGTAAACAAAAGGGAAGATTTTCTCTTTGATACTGGAGACTGCACAACAATGGGGCCACGAAAGAAAAGTGTGAAAACATGTATCATGAATAATGAAATTCCAGAAGAAATGACAGCAGATGAAACAAAGGACTATATGAATCAACTTTCACATGAAGTACTTTGCCATATTTTTAGGTAAGATTGTGTTTGGTTGACTTACCTACCTGGAATGGATAAGAGCAAACCCTGAGGCAGTGCTGTCTAATGTGGTAGCTGCCAGCTACGTGCAGCATTTACATTTCAATTAAGTAAAAATTTAAAATTTAGTTCGTCAGTTGCACTGGGTACATTTCAAGTGCTTAGTAGCCATATGTGGCTAGTGGACACAGTGTATAGGACAACAGAGTATAGACAGAAAATATTTCTTTTGTCACAAATAGTTCTGTTGGACAGCCTTTCTCTAGACTGTTAACATTTCTAGACTTCTTGGAATTTTTATTGACTAATAGATTTGTTGACTTTTGTTACTGCATTATAACAGCACTATGTGTGTACACTGCACAATATAAGGCAGTGTTTCTGACTTTTTCTGACTACAACCCTCAGTGAGAAACATACGTGTAAGTGATTGTAACAAAGTTTTCTGAAATAATACCCATCATAACTAAATGCAGTGCATACATTAAAGTTGTTTTATGAGCACAACACAAAAAGACTTCTAAAAAAATTATATTTTTACCCAAACTGCATTATAACAACTGTTTGTTTTTGTTTTTTTTTTTTTGAAGGAAAACTGTCATTCTAGTTTCCCCTGCTCTCTTCTTTCAATTATTGTCCTTATGTCTATAATTCAAATAAACAAATTCTAACATACTTTGTCTCTGAAATTAGAGATCTGAGTTTGAATCCTGGGTTCATTATTTGCTAGCTCAAGACTAATAATAGACATAATGGCAGTATTATTAGGATTCAGTGAGATAATGCATTAAACACTTAGCACACTGAAAGCATAAATGCTTGGTAAATGTTAATGGTTATTCTGCCTCTTTTCATATTGCTACATGGTCTTCATAATTTTTTTTCTTACTGCTTACTATTCTATAGAATGTATAAATAACATGGTACTTATCATTTCCCTTGTCTGACATCTAGATTGGTTTCAGTTTTTCTGTTTTCTGCAATTATAGTTGGAATTAACTTCTCTAAGCATCTGGATTTTCCATTATTTTAGGTTGTTTACCTATGAAAAATTTCTTTATTTGAAGTTCTTAAGAATGTTTTGAATTTCTGTAAATGAATATTTGCAGATTATGAACTTTTAAAATAGCAAGAAGAGTTATTTTAGGAGATCCTAGGCACTGTATTTTTTTTTCTAATATAAATGTGTATGTCATTATTTCCTGCAGTTTGTTATTGTGTGACACATTGTAGTTTTTGCTAGTTCAGTTCTGTCTGGGATCAGAAGACCAAATTAAAAATGGTAGATTTTTTTTTAACAAAACAAAATGATATTAACTTTCATCTGGTAGAAAAAAAGTCTGTCAGAATAGCCAAAAATTTTCAGAAAAAGAGTCTTACAACTACCAGATGTTCAATTACATTCTAAAATGTTTTGGAAAAGAAAGCCAGACAGTTGGGTAAAGGAGACAAACATAGGCTCCATTCAAATACATGTGGAGATCTAGTTTATGACAAGGTTGTATTCACATCAGTGAGGAAAAGCCGGGTGGACTATTCAGCAACGATGTCTCAACCTACAAACCATTTGGAGAAAAAAATAAAAGCGCATTTTTATCTCATGTCTTACAGCTAAATTCAAAGTGGATCAGTGAATTAAACAATAAATCCTTCAGAATTCGTTAAGAAAGCATAGGTAAAATTGCATCTAGGGATAAAGTTGGATAATGCTAGGAAAAAATTGGACCATGTATTATATATGTATATTTTTTTGAGACAGAGTCTCACTCTGGCTGGAGTGCAGGGTATGATCATGGCTCACTGCAACCTTGAACTCCTGGGCTTAAGCTATCCTTTTGCCTTAGGGGCGCACACCACTGTGCTTGGCTAATTTTTTTTATTTTTTCATAGAGTCGGGATCTTGATTTGTTGCCTAGATTGGTCTTAACTTCTGGCCTCAAGCAGTCCTCCCATTTTGGCCTCCCAAAGTGCTGGAATTACATGCATAAGCCACCACACCTGGCCATTGGACCATAATCTAAACTGAAAATAGATCAGATAATGTTGTGCAGTTCAAACAGAATATTCAAATGGAAGGGGTAGAATCAAGTCAAGATATAATGGTAGTTACAATGAAGAAAACAGAGCATTTCACAGCATGTAGAAAGAACCATGAACTTAGTTCTTGAACTTCATGTATTTATTCTGAAAACAAACTAAATTTTGTTTCATTTTTAGTCTTCCAAAATTTTAATTTGAGGACTCATTGTGGTGGTGTAGTAACTACTTAACATGTCTTCATAAAACAAGAAAAACTATGGCCTTCCTTACAAGAAACCTAATCTTTGCTGTCCCTGCTATGCTCGCTTTTCTAAAGTGTTATATTTGATCTGTCTTCAGAACTCTAGTCCTTTGACTATGTAACTATGAAGAAAAAACATGTTACTTCTTAGGGAAAATATGATGTAAAATAATCTTGATTTTGTGATTATTCATCTGTTTGTATTTAAAGGGAGTATAAATTTAACCTAGGCAAATACGTTGGATAACAATATTTAGGAGAAAAATATTACAGTGGCAAAATTAATTTAGAAAGCAAATTTAATGTTTTTCATTGTTTATAAAATGTGTTGTCATGTTTCTGAAAAATTCTACTTATAATCTAAGTTATAGAGACTAAATTAAGTTATGGCTAGCAGTAATGCTTTATTTTGTATAAGATTTGATTTAAATCATTTTAAAGGGGTAAGAAGAGGGACGAGAAGTAGAAAAAAAATGAATCAGATGAATATTCAATGGGCATATGTGGACTTTTCTTTCAGATAGTGTCAGACAAAACTGTGTTACCATTCCTGACCCTTTTGCCCTCTTACCTAGCCATGTGACATTTTGCAGGTTTAATTCTTCTGAGCTAATTTCAGCACTTGTAAAATGGAGTAATAATAGTGTATACTATGTCAGTGAAGTGCCAACAGATAACACAAAATACACTTACCTGGAATTTGAAGATAATTTAATGAAGGGACTATTTACAGAGGTGTAGGTGGAGTTTACGGAACAAGTAAGGGATGATGAAGAATTCATCTACGGGATTAGCAGCAGTAGAAAGGCAGCATTGCCACCTGCAGCCCTCCAGCTGGTGCTTCTCATTGGCTAAAGTTAACAGCCAGAGATGGGTAGGGAACACAGCAGGTCAGAGAGGGGGAGAAAAAGGACTGGGAGACAGCTGTATGACAAACAGGAACCAGCTAGTTACCGCTTAAGGTTGTTGTGAAACAATGAGTGGAGTGTGACACAATACAGGTTCAGTAGGTAAAGGTAGCTTTAACTTTTCAAAAAATTTAATTAAGTGTGTGTGGAGGGGTCTTAAGAGAGAAAAATAGACCTTTCAGAATATATAACAGAACAAAAGTCAGGGTTGATTGAAAGTTTCAGGAAAAGATAATAAAGAAGAATGGAAAAGAGGAAGTTGTAATTCAGATGAGGTGTCTTAATACTTATGCAATACTTTTATCAGTGTATGTGACCTTAAAGGTAAAAAAAAAAAAAATCTGGGAAAAGAAATTGTGTACTATATGGCTAGCATACGTATTTGTTGGTGGAGAAGCTAGTAGAGTTTGCAGGAGCAGGAGGGTGGAGTTGAGAGGGAGCAAAGTGTCCCTACAGGAAGTAGATTCTGTAAAAGATATGCAATAATATTGCCCATGTTCAAAATGAGTAATTCTCTCTGATCTTTCTCAGATTCCTTTCTCATCACATCTTGAAAAGCACTTATTTTTTTTCTTCTTTTCTTTTTTTTTTTTTTTTTTGGTTTGTTTTTAGATTTTCTTTGTCCTTGAAAACTCAAAAGAAGAAAGGCAGGTTTTATCAAATGACCTGTGGAGGGAGCTCAATACCTTATTTGGATACTCAAGTATTTGCTGACTTATCTTTTTAGTAAAAAGCTGTATGACCATATATGACCATATATGCATGTTAGCTTTGAATCTCTGTCTGAAGATCTTATTTCATTTGAGTGGTAGGAGATTGGAAGAAGGAAAAAAAAATAACTTATTGGTGAGGGGTGATACTTGCCCACTTGATAAATATGAGTTTCTTTCTCTCACAAAGGTACCTCCCTCTGCAGGATATCATGTGTATGGAATGTCTTTCGCGGAAGCTAAAGGAAGCAGTGACCCTGTATCTGCGAGTTGTGAGAGTTGTAGATCTCTGTGCAGGGCGGTGGTGGGAATACATGCCAAGTGGTAAGTGGATTTAGTCTGTAAAGTACAGTAGTAGCCTACTGGAAAGTAGTAACAATGGTTTCATAAAAAGTTACTTGTTGTCTTGAAAAAGGCAATCTAAGTCACCTCATAGGGAGGCAAGATTTTGTTTAAATTATTCATGTTGGGTTTTAGGTTTGTAAAATGCGTTTTACCTGAGGCTTTATTGTTTTAATAGTCTGCTCTTTTCATTTCCTGTCTTTAAGTAACTATATCAGCCTGTTCCACACATACGTGATTGGAGAACATGAGCCTTTGGTTAATGGAGTATATGTATATCACATTAGACCGTGTGTGTCCTTTACTCTCTGATGCGGGTTTTCCGTTGAGTGGTAACAGTTTTCATCATAGATTTCCTCTACAACTAAACTGTACCCTTTAATTAAATAAATACTTGCCATTTTTGTAAAATAGACCGCAGAACTCCAATTTCTTTAAATGGCCTATAGTAGGTCTTGGAGATTCTCGAATAAGGCACTGACCGAGCTTACAGGTAAAGAACTCAGAGTTAGCTTCCTAACCTCTACAAATTGTTCCCAGTTGAAGAGACCACCTGAAAAGAAAGTTAATGGCTTTAGCTAAGCAAGGCATACTTGAAAGGAAGGAGTTAAAATAAAAGGCAATTAAAAGCTTCTTTTCACTTAATGCCAATCCATTAATTGGTACAATTTAGTTACTCTTGTTTTGCAATTATGAATCTGTCTTGTAAAGTCATCCTTTTTCTATGATGTCCAGATTATGAGACTTTGAAAATGGTATAAGACTGAGAGGGGACCAAAAAAAAAAAAAAAAAAAAAAAAGCCTTAATAGAAGTGAAGGGCTGGAGGAGATAATTGTCTTGTTCTGTTCTGTAGAACAGAACAGGTTAGCTCTGAAATACTGGAATTGTGCAGGTGGGTGCTGCATCCTTTCAAGAGAGTCATCAGATCAGTTGCTAACTCTTATCAGTTGGCCATAGTAGTTACCAATATATATTTTTTTTTTTTTTTTGAGATGGAGTCTTGCTCTGTTGCCCAGGCCAGAGTACAGTGGTGCGATCTTGGCTCACTGCAAGTTCCGCCTCCCAGGTTCATGCCATTCTTCTGCCTCAGCCTCCCAAGTAGCTGGGACTACAGGCACCCACCACCACGTCCTGCTAATTTTTTGTATTTTTAGTAGAGACAGGGTTTCACCGTGTTCACCAGGATGGTCTTGGTCTCCTGACCTTGTGATCCACCTGTGTCAGCCTTCCAAAGTGCTGGGATTACAGGCGGGAGCCAGCGCACCCGGCCCCAATATATACTTTCTTAAAAAGAACATTGCAAAGACCTGAGGCTGGAACTGATTAATAGGTTTGTGGGAGGCAAACCGTGGTTGCTTTCAAATATTTAATAAAAGCCATTCTAAGGGTAAAAGATTCATCTCATCTTGTTTCAGAATGATCCTTTATATCAGGAAAGAAAAAAAATTAGGGCAGTGTGAAAACGATCGTCTTATTCCTTGTATTAGTTTTGCTTTTGCAAAGGTTAGGCCAGTGGGAATTCTGAAGATGGGATTAATACAGTATATAAAGGCAGGATGGCAGAACTCCCATGTGATACAGTCTTAGCATTAACATTACTACTACTTACCAATTAGAGAAGAATTTGACTGCATGTTGCTGACTTTTAGGCTGTGATAAATAACCTGTGAGCCCAAGGCTTCCCATCTGTGCAATGAATGTAAAAGAGAGTTGAAGCAAACAGTCTCTAGCCTAAGATCAGATCACACTAACCTTGCTCACTAATGCCACCCTGACCAGTTCTCTGGCGTTTAACCCAGATTCTTTATATAATAGTACTTTATGGTTTATGTATGTGATCTCTTTGGATACTCACTCCATCTCTGTAAAGAAGGTAGAACTTTCCCCATTTCTCTCGTGGGAGGCAACATATGTGACAAAAGAGGATAAACATTGCAGAGGTTACACTTGGTTTTAGATTCCAGCACTGCCATTTGGAAGCTCTTAAACTCTCTCAACTTCATTTTTTATGCTTGTTAGATGGGGTGATAACCTTTCTGATTTGGTCGTGAGAATAAATGAAAAAACAAAATGATTAACACATTGAATTGTTCAGTAATTAAAAGTTACTATACAAGAAAGTGATAAGAATTGTTATTATAATTAGAGACCAAGTAATCTCTAGTCTCTCCTTACTCTTCACTTTTGTGATACTGAAGTTAATATGTCTGGACTTTACATGTTAAATGAGATAACTTACAAATAAAACAACTTTCAAAAAAGTATGTAAGACTTAAATATTTGGGGCCTACTTTTTATTCTTGACAGTTAATATTTTTATTTGTCATTAATAAGCAGACAGTTGGCTTTCTGACCACTTTCATTAAAAATAAAAAAGCCCTTGTAACAGCTTAAAATAGCATCCATATGAGACTTGTCTCCCCACTTACTTAACCAACAGCTCCTGCTGCGGAAGTAACCTGCCTCTCTCTGTTCCCATCTTGTTGATTCCTGCTATGGTCTCCTGGATAGATAGCTTCCTATCAGCAGCATCCCCTGAGATTGGATCACTCTGGTTCTCTTAGCTGACTTGCATCTGTCTTTTTCAAAAGAATTAATTAAAATGGCAGGGGAGTAACAGTTAAACATATGACAGAGTATCAGAGTAATTATTAGAAAATGGATAGAATAATTTGAGATAGGAATTAGGTCAGAACTGTGAGCTTCCTAAGGATGAGGATCATATCTTATTTATATTTTTAGTTGTGTTCTGCAGAGCCCTGAAGGATTTACAGACAAGAGAGTACCCGTGGGGGAGGAGAAGGGTGGTGGTGATCAGGTGGGTGGTCCCGCTCCATCCACCAAATAGGTCCAAGTTATCTGGGTTAAAAGGGTGTTCTTTGTTGAAGATTTCCGTGCCTTAAAAGGAACAAAAACCAAACAGTCAATAATAAAAGCCTCCTCCATAAAGTATTAACTCAGATTAAGTGGAGTTTCTGACACATTTCCTCTGTTACTAAAGAAGTATATTTTCTGTTATGTTTATTCAGCTTTAGTGTTAGCCTTACGGAAATTTGAAAAGGAAGTCTTTTTTAACTTTTGGTAAAAATCAGAAGTGCCTAGTAAGTGTTAATGAACAGAAAGACGAACCTGGCTCTAAATACTTCTGAACTTCTCAGGCTTTACAGATTCCAGTTTTCTAACACTATTAAAGAAGATGCCAGATGTTGAACAGCTATATGGCCTTCACCCTCGATACCTTGAGAGGCGAAGAGTAAGGGGCCATGAGGCTTTTAGCATTCCAGGAGTCCTAGAAGCTTTGCAGGCATGCCCAAACTTAGTGGTGAGTGCACCTGGCTGGACATTTTGGCATCAACTGTTGATGAAATAATAGACCAAAGAATGATAGACTTGTTTACTCACATGCAAATCATCTGTTACAAACTTTTAAGTTCCATTGTGTACTTAGCATCTTGTGGTACAGAAATAAAAGCTTTGGATGCTAAATTAAAATCCTTTCTTATGCTTGCTTGGCATTATTTTCTAGGGTGTGGAAACTTCTCATTTGGAATTGGTAGAATCCATTTGGACATATATGCCCCATGTTCATATTTTGGGGAAATTCCGTAATCGTAATGGAGCCTTTCCAATTCCTCCTGAAAATAAACTGAAAATTCCTATAGGAGCCAAAATTCAAACTTTACATTTAGTTGGTGAGTACATGTTTCTTGGGTCAATTGTAACTCCCTGAAATGCCATATAACCTGAATATTCACTGAAAAAGAATAATGAGAATTTTAGAGATGACTTTGTTGATTGATGACTTCAAAATAAATGTTTTCAAGACCTGTATAAAAATTAAGATTTCCCATTAAAGATCCACTGGGGTGAGGGAAATACTGTTTCACCAAGTGTATATTCTCTATCTGAATATTCTTTGAAATTATATACCAATAGCTTCAACTTAAGTAAAAAGTGTAAATATTTTCTCAAATTTGTCACTTTTGGCTTACGCTACTGAAAGGAATTCGGGGGTCCCTGTTAATATAGTCTGGTCTTTAATATTTGTTTACTACTTTATTCTGTATATATATATACACACACAGAGAGAGAAAGAGAGTATATATGTTTTCAGCATTATTCTAGGTATTGGGGATGGTCCAAAGAATTGGAAATTTCTGAAACTCAGGTGGTAAAGGGGGAGGGCATTGGAAATGATAAGGAGTTGGTCTTAAATAAGACTTAGATACACAATTATGGGAGAAAAGTAAAGATTTCTAGCAACCCTTCATTTATAAGATCAGGGAGTGGTGTCTAGTTTGAAATTGGATTTTTAGATATAAGGATTCTGTAATATCTGAAACTTATAATATAAGCTCCTTAAGGTCAAAGACTTATTTTCATATCTTTATATTTTCTATAATGCCTGTCACAGTTCATTGCAAATATAAGTACAGGTTAACTTTTATTAAAATGCATTAATTTATGGGAATCATTTAACAGTTTAACACTGTATTATGGTGATGTAGCGGTGTGGTAAATTAATAATAATGAACATTACCAAGAGAATGGGCAATTATGTCCTTTGTTTATAGAGTTTGGGACAGAAAGTGGATTGGGCCTAGGGTATACTGTCTTCTCTGCATCTGTCTCACCCTTGCCACCTTGGGTTTCCTAATCAGTACAATCATTACTACCATCTTGATAGTATTAAAATAGATGCTGAACTTACCTTTGTGACTTCGGCATCGTACATCTCAATCTGTACCTCACTTCTGCTTTTTGTCCTTTTGTCTCATCCTTAATTTTACTTCCCATTTGTTGCTGTACTATGTGTGTGTGTAGTTCAAGCTAAATTGAGTTAAATAGCAGAGTGATGCTATTTTGAGAGGAACAAGTTAAGGGGTAATCCTTGTAGGTTACAATAAGAACATTTGGCAGAATTTAGCCTTTAAAGAACTGACCATTCAAGCACTCCAATTTTGCATTCTCTAGTTATTCTTGGTAGCAGAGCTTCTATTTTCCAAATTTAAAAATTGCATTAAATACTTTTGCCAACTACTGTTTGTTAAATGCCATCATCCTGGATCCTTGGATTTCTTTAATAAATTTGTGTCCCTTCCTTGGCTTTTATCTTCTTTCGTCCGTATTTCCTGTATTTTTTCACCTCACGCTACACCTCCGTTCTTCTGGTCGTGGTCCTCTGTGGGTATGATTTCTAGTATTAAGCCTCTCATGGATCCCATGCATCAAATTACCTTTACCAATCTGAAATTCTAAAATAAATGACTGGCAGGTTTCTGCTTTTCTCAGAGCCATGCTGGCTGGCTTCTACCACATATTTACAAAGTCTTAAGATTCATATATTTGTAGAAAACAGCTTTTAAAGCTCTGTGTCTGGCTATCTTCCAAATATCTATTTGCATATTTAAACCCACCTCGCTGACTTTGCACTGAGAAATTTAGTTTTCCTACTGGGGGGCAGTGGACATTAGTAGTCAAATAGTAAATTTGTGTGTTCCATCTCCATCATTGTAGTTTTGCTTTCGATAATCCATTTTCACTTTACCTCTTCTGGGAAAATATATCCTAGGAGAGTTGTAAGATTATGAGAAACACGTGCTAATCTAAGATATAGAAATACTTTTTAAACTTTATCTTCCCATTGGCCTTTTCTAAAAAAGTTAAGTCGGTTTATGGTTCTTTTTAAACCTGTTTTAAATAAGGCAAACTTAATAGATTTTGTGTAATTTGTTCTGATAAAAATCCTTGACCAGTTAAACTGTTAATATGAAAAATAGACTCTTGAACTTATAAGCAAAATGTAGTATAGTTTTGTGATTTTTCTTGTTTGTTCTTTTTTATATTTGTGTTTTAGGGGTGAATGTACCTGAAATTCCTTGTATCCCAATGCTAAGGCACCTTTATATGAAGTGGGTAAGACTTACTAAACCACAGCCATTTAAAGACTTCCTTTGTATCAGCTTAAGAACTTTCGTCATGAGGAACTGTGCAGGTAATGGTACACAATTATGGTGGAATTAAACATAAGCTATTCTAAAAATATCCTGAAGCAAACTTTAGCTACATTTGTAAATACAATTATATTATGCTATTACTATTTATGTCTTATAACTTATTCATCTTGTGAAGATAAATGTACTTTTTGTTTTAAAGACATTAGAAACATGATTTGCGTTTGACCTCAGCAAAAACAAAAACAACTCAGAATATCTGTATTTTTTACAGGCACTTTTTACTTTTCATAGGATTGTTTTATTAAATTTCAGTATTCTTTGTTTCTGGTCTCTGGTCTCTGAATCATTCTGCATGTAAATAGTTGGCTTCCTTAATCTACCTTAAACATAGCTTTTATGGTATTATCCTTCTAAACAGAAATCTTTATGTCCCTGTTGCCCTAGAGTAAGCTTGTTCAGCCCACGGTCCGCTGGCCACAGCCCACATGATGCCCAATACAAATTCTTAAACTTTCTTAAAACATTATGAAATTTACACACGGTCTTCCCCCCCCACCCCCACCCCCACTTCTTTCCAGCTCATCAGCTATCTTTAATGTTAGTGTATTTTATGTGTGGCCCAAAACAATTTTTCCTCTTCCAGTGTGGCCCAGTGATGTCAAAATACTGGACACCCCTGCACTTAGAGCATTAAGGGGGAACTACTCTGCTTAAGGTCAAAATAACCAGGACCCCTCTTGATAGCCTTATTCTGACACCTTTCCAAGATATACCTTCTTTTATCATCACATTTGACTATTCATTGTTCCCTGGACAACCATACAGCTTTCCACCTCAATGTCTTCTCTTATGCTGGATTATTGTTGCCTTATCCTGAGATGTGCACTTTCTTCCTCTTTTTTTGTATGCATTCTTCAGGTTCTGCCTTTTCCAACTTACTTTTCTCCTCTTTCTTTTTCTTTTTCATGGAGTATGGCAGATCTTATTTTTATACTTGATGTAGTCTGCCTTCTTATCCTTCTATAATTGTTTATGTTAGTTCTAGCTCCATGTCAACTGCACGTTTTTTGATGGACAGGACCATATCTTTTGTGATCTTCTGTAGTATCTAATGCAACACTGGTCATAGAGATGGTTAAATGATTGAGCTGTTTACTTGATTGAAGGATCAAATTTTTGTCTTGACTTTTTCCCATTAGTTAGTTTGGGTTCAAAACTATTGAGCCTTTAGAGAATTTACAGAATACTACATCTCTCTCCAGTGTTACTGAAAAACCTTTATGCTGAGTAAATATATGGTTAATAGGCTAACACTTCCATTTGTAACAAGAACTAGATTGCAGAGAGCCAATTTGGCTGTCATTTTAAGATATAGAGTTACGTTATACATGCCTTTCACTGATTTGAAATTCATTTTAAGGCACTTTACATTGTTCTATCAAAGATTTTCTTTTTTTTTCTAGGACCCACAAATTCCTTGAAATATGTCCCTTTAGTAACAGGCTTAGCCTCTGCCCGAAACTTGGAACACTTAGAAATGGTTCGAGTTCCTTTCCTTGGAGGTCTTATCCAACATGTTGTTGAAGACAGTTGGAGATCAGGTATTCATTTTCTTTTGTTACTATTTTTTAAAAGTCAACTTTAAAAAATCATTAAGCTTTTATTTAACTTCCCTGGCAAGTCTTTTAAAAAGAAAATGCTTGTCAGTAATTGTGCTTTCTCTGGTGTATTTGATGGACAATAAGTAACCATGAGTATAGCTAGTGTTCATTTTCTTTTGGTGCACATTAAACTTTCTTAAAATAGACAGTAGAGTGATAAGATGTGTTTTCTGGCTTGTTTTGACTTTTGCATAGCTAATAATACCTCCTCTTATATTTGGAATCTTTCTTAGAAATGTTAACAGGGATTTCTAGCATTCTTTGGTGATGTTTTACAACTTGTACAGCCTAGGCTTCCAAAAAAAATTTAGGCATTAGTAATGTTAATATTTATCATATAATAATAGATAAATAATACATAACAGAATATGCTCTATGTTAATCATCTCATTGCAGAAAAAAAAATTGTGGTTTAGCAAAATGGATGATTAATAGTTGGAAACCAAAAATCTAACTTTGGCTCTCTAAAATAAAATGGAAAGTCATCAAGTACCATTGTTAACAAACAGCATTATAGTTAATACTGTGGAAATCTAAGAAAAGTAAACACTACATTTCTAGACATTTTGTCAGTCAAGTGTGGTGTAAGTGTACTGTATTACATTTAGCCAGTGGGATGAAACAACCCCTAAGACCAGCAGTATTTTGATTGATGGCGATAGTTAACAAGATAAAAGTCAAAAACGAAAAGAAGGTCTCTCTCCATTCACTAGAGAGAAGACCTGTAGAGAGGTGCTGAAAGCTGAGTTTGTATAAAGGTCCTGAAAGAAAAACAGAGACTTTTCTTCTCTAATTGATTTTTAAGGGCGACCCTGCCTTATATTTTATTCAAGAAGTCAGCATACCTCACACAAAAATTAATTCTAGATGGATCATAGATTCAAATGAGAACAATTTTTAAAAAGAAATTTAAAAAAATAACTTAGAAGAATGTCTTGTTGACCTTGAGTACACAAAGTCTTCTTAAACAGGACACCGAAAAGCATTTACCATAAAGAAAAGATTGATAAACTGTACCAAATTAAAATTAAGATTTTTTTTTTTGGTCCATCAAAAGGCATGTTTGAGAGAGTGAAAAACCAGCCGGGTGTGGTGGCTCATGCCTGTAATCCCAGCACTTTGGGAGGCCGAGGCGGGAGGATCACGAGGTCAGCAGATGGAAACCATCCTGGCTATCATGGTGAAACCCCGTCTCCACTAAAAAGTACAAAATATTAGACAGGCGTGGTGGCGGGCGCCTGTAGTCCCAGCTACTCTGGAGGCTGAGGCGGGAGAATGGCATGAACCCAGGAGGTGGAGCTTGCAGTGAGCCAAGATCTCACCACTGCACTCCAGCCTGGGCAAGAGAGCGAGACTCAGTCTCAAAAAAAAAAAAAAAGAGTGAAAAACCAAGCTACAGAAAGGGAGAAGCTGTTTGCAATACAGACACCGGGTTTTGGGAAGATATAAAGGACTCCTGGAATGGATAAGAAAAAGGCAGGCAACTCAATAGAAAAAATGGGAAAATACTTGAATAGAAAAGTTTCCATACAAGAATCCAGTAAACATGAAAAAACGATAAAGTTTACTAATCATTAGGGAAGTGCAAATTGAAACTACAGTGTGATATTCAAGCACTAAAATGACTATGCCTACTCATGACTAATATGAAAAAGATAAAAACAGTAATGTTGGCTAGGATGTGGAGCAACAGAACCTTTCATACGCTGGTGGTCAGAATATAAATTCATACAACCACTTTGAAACACTGTTTGGTAGTATCTACTAAAGTTGGTCATACACATAGCAACAGTTGCATTCCTGGCTTTCAACCCAACAGAAATGTTTACATTTGTTCACCAAAAGACATTTTTAAGATTGTTCACAGAAGCACTGTTTCTAATCATCCCAAAATGGAAAGATGCCTGTCGTCAAGAGAATGGATAATTAAATTGTGGCATATTCATGTAGCAAAATACTGTACAGCAATAAGAATGAACAGACTACAGCTACACAGCGATATGGATGAATCTCATAAGCAGAATGTTTAGTAAAAGAAGCCAGACGCAAAAGTATACATACTTTGTGACTTTATTTATACAAATTTAAAATGGATAAGTCAGTCATTTCTTTAAGCTATAAATTAGTAATTTATGTTCTTTTTTGTAAGTAAATACAAGTTTCAGAAACATTAAAAAAATCAGTTAAAGTGGTTCTGGTCTTGTTCCGTATGATATTTGGAGGTTCAAAATTTGGCCAGAAATGGCAGGGTTTCTTTTTTTACAATTATCTCATCCTGACTTTCTAAAAATCCTTACTTAACAGTCTGAATCTTTTAGAGTAGTTTTCAGATGCCATCAGAGTGTCTTGTCAAAATGAGGGTCTGCTTTCATCTCCTTTTAGGTGACTAGTAGTTATAATTCATCTTAAGATATTAATTTCAATGCAAAAATAAAGCTGAGATTTACTTTTAAACCAATAATTATCATCTAAGATAATACTTTATAATGTATAGTATATAAGTACTTCACTAAAAATACTGTGGTCAAAAGAAACACTTGTTTTTGTTCCTTGTCTTCAGGTGGTTTTAGAAATTTGCACACTATTGTTCTGGGAGCTTGCAAAAATGCTCTTGAAGTAGATCTTGGTTACCTCATCATTACTGCTGCCCGTAGGTATGTTTCCTCTTTGTATTGTGTCTTTCACTTTAGAAGTAATTGTGTCTTTCCCTGTTTTACCAAAAATTGTGGAACGTGTGTGTATATATGTGTGTACATTTGATCAAGCCTTGTTCAAATTTAAAATACAAAGTTTAAATAACAGATGAGTATAACATCATGGTAGTCTTAATGTTATATACTGGTAACCAGTTGAGCTGCATACTAGCAAGCTCCAGAGTGGCATGGTCTCATATCAGAGAAAAGCAGTGGAATTTCTGGAAACGGCTAAGAGTCCAACAGAAGTTAGCATTGAAGCTCTGGTGTCTGTAGCCCTCTCAGGACCATTGTCTCAATCTCTGGATGATTTTCTGAATTGTTCTAATTACTTGGTGATAATATTTGCTATTCAGAAATCAGTGTTTTAAATCAGCTTTTCCGAAGTCTGACCTTATAACACATCTATAATTTTTAACCAAGTGGTTGTATCACTCTACCACATTTACTATTTCTTACATATCAGTGTTCTACCTCCACTTTTATTTTATAGTATTTTCTTTAAATTAAGCATTTTTTAAATTTATTCAAAAACAAAGCTTTTTCCATCAAAAGATTATTGATTAGGATTGTAAATAAAATAAGTGTTTCTTTTTTTTTTTTTTCCAGAAATCCTAGCCATGTATTTACAGAATCATTGTGAAAAATGAACTATCAAGGAAGAAAAATAAACCACTCTTTCATCTTTCATATCAATCCAAAAATAATTCAATGTCTTTCTAAATAATGAACACAACTTAAACTTACCCTTCTTAAGAATTAAGATAATTCTGCAGTTACATAATACACACCTCATAATGACTGCAAGCTTTAGGAAACCTCGGCTTTGACAAATCTGAGCCTAGTCCCTCAGAATAATACCTCAGGGTCTAAAATAAAAGTGTTTCTAAGTTCAAGTAGGTATTGTTACCTACTACAGAACTATACTCTTGGTTAAAATGCAACATTAACAGCTAGCCTAAGCAAAATGTCAAATACCAGCACCAGGTGCAGATTCTCACATTGACTTTTCAGGTTTAGTAAAGCACTTGGTATAAGATTCTTACCTGTAATTAATTGTTATTTAATGTATAGCTTCAGTGTACTGCCTTACACTTACCTCAATGGAGGAGGTGGGAAGGAAGTTGTTGACATCTGTGACACTTCACTAAAGTCATAAACTTCTTTCAGAGTCTTCCTGATATGGTTTGGCTCTGTTTCCCCTCAGATCTCATCTTGCAGCTCCCATAATTCCCTTGTGTTGTGGGAGGGACCCAGCGGGAGATGACTGAGTCATGGGGGTAGTCCTTCCCATGCAGTCCTCGTGATAGTGAATAAGTCTCACTAGATCCAATGGTTTTAAAAATGGGAGTGTCCCTGCACAGCCTCTCTTTTGTTGCCTGCTGCCGTGATGTAAGATGTGACTTGCTCCTTTTTGCCTTCAACCATGTTTGTGAGGCCTCCCCAGCCACGTGGAACTGTGAGTCCATTAAAACCTCTTTTTCTTCCCAGTCTCTGGTATGTCTTTGTCAGGAGCATAGAAACAGACTAATACACTTATATTAGGAGGAATCTTTGGTTCTGGTGGTTTTTGTTTTACTCTGATATGTTCTTTCTCTTTATTCACAGGTTACATGAAGTTCGGATCCAGCCTTCCCTAACCAAAGATGGTGTCTTTTCTGCCCTAAAGATGGCAGAATTGGAGTTCCCCCAGTTTGAAACCCTTCATCTAGGATATGTAGATGAGTTTTTGCTACAGAGTAAGATTTATCTCATTTTAATTCCTAGAATTACTGTAGGAAATTTACTTGACAAACTGAAATCTGAATTGGGGTTGTGCCTTGTCTTTTTGAACATAAGACAACTTAAAATCTTAGGTGCTCTCACGTCTTGAAAAATAAACTTTTAATTGAGAAATGTCAGTGATTTTTTTTCCATATTGCCTCTGATTTTAGCATACTATAGAAAATATAGTTACTAACAATACACCAGAAAAAGAACCTTATCTACATTTGATATTGTCTCCTCTTTACTGCCCACGTTTCTTTCCCATTCTGCTTCATTTTTTTCACAGAATGTCATCCTTGGTTCCATTGTTGAATTTGATCTGCCACACTTCTTGAAGCTTTTGATGGTCCTCTCAGATGAGGTCCCATTCCCTGCCCATGCTCTTCATTTCCATAATAAGCCCGCTGGGGGTTCTGGATTTTCCAGATAGTGTGAGCACATAATGGTCAGTATTCATTTAATGATGATTGCTGTTGGAAAGCTTGTTCACAGCATTTTCTTACGCATTTACAATTGAGAACTCATTTCTTTGGGTTTGAATGCATGTCAATTCATTATTCAAACTATTTCTCCATATGGCATCAATAAGATATAAAAGAAAATTTTCATCACCAACATGTTTTTATTCAAGAATTCATTTTCTTCCCACTTGATTTGCAACAAGTCTTTCTTGAACTCTCATCATCATAGCAGATAACATTTTTTCTTTGGATCTAGTTTGTGTTGTAGAAGAACATAAGAAGGCTTAATTCTTCCAGTCAGGACAGTCCCACTCAAAAAACATGACTGTTTTTCTTTTTCATTTCTAATGTATATATTACAATAATAGTTGTGGGTTTTTTGTTTGTTTACTTTTTTGTTGTTCACGGTACTCATTAATATAGGTGATTACTTTAAAAAGTTAAGCCATCCTTTTCTAGGCAGTTGACTATTAGATTCACGTTAAATCTACAGCTTTGAAAAAGATCAGCTTTTCTCCAAAATAGCTTAAAATGCTAACTAGTACAATGATTTTATATAAAATTAATACATTTGATATCAAGCTTTTCTGGTTTTGAATGAAGTATCTAACATTCCCTATGTTTCTTCAGTGTCTGTATAGTAACTTAAAATTATTAGCTTTGAAGTTGATATTCCTTCTATAATGTTGTTTTCTGTTTTTCCCAAAAGCTCAGAACTTGACAAATTGTGTACCTTCAGGATGGCCAAATTTAGGTCTACTGAAGAATTGTCTTCCCGTGTTATCTTTATAACCAATTATTTTCCTGTAGTGTTTCATTCTCCTCAACGTACGTTTTCTATAGCATAAAAATACCTTCTTGACTATCATTATCTCATAGTTTTCAACACAACTTGTTTCATGTTCTGTTTCATACTTAATAGTCTGTTACGTTAAACTTTGTACTATCATTCTCTTCTTATTTGCCACAGTTTAACCATTTCTTCCATATACATACTATCTTCTGTCCCTCCAAAGATGGCCTAGGATTCTCTGTTTCAGAATAGGTGCGTGGTACTTCTTATGGACAATGTCATGAGGTCACTGTTCACTCACACTCTCTCACTTAGTTTCTCTCTTCTCAGTAATTTAGATTTGAAGCATCTCCCCAAGAAGTGGTGACTGGCCTCTGGTAAAACTTGGGTCACTTTCTTGTTATAAAAGGTCTGGCAGAATAAATAAATAGGAACATCACCTTTTGTCTTCTAGCGATGACCTAAAGATGAATCTTTAGAGAGTTCTTTGTTCATGTGGATGTATGATCTGTAAGCTTTATATAATAGTGATAGAGATGTATAACTCAGTGAAAATTTTAGAAAAAAATATAGTCGTAGCCCTAGAGTCCTAGGAATTTAGTCCTAGAGCTTGAGGGAGAGAGAATTGAGGCCTGTCTGTTACTAATCATGAGAGCTAAGCAAGTTCATTGTTCTCATTTCTTAAATGAAGATAAGGTGATTTCCTGCTTTTCTCTTGGGTAGCTCTGAGGAATCAAGGGAAAAGTGATACATACATTTACAACAATCTCTGACACTTAGGAAGTATTCAATAAATGATAGCTTTTACTTTTAGCTGACCTGTGGGCTGAAAAGAAAAACAAACATGAATCTCAAGTGATATCATCAGGATTTTGAAGGAGTGTGGCAAGCAGGAAGCCCCAAGAGTAGAAACGTGATTGGTCATCTCAAAAAACTAAATGCAAAACATTGATTTGTCATGTTAGGTTACAGCATTTATTCAGGTAGTACCCAGGAAACGGTCAGTTCAAGGTTTACCCTATCTTAAGGAAAATGCAAGTTTCGTCTCAAGTCCAAAGAGCGGGGAAAAGGTCCTTACCAGGAGCTGAAGAAAATAGCTCAGCTAAATTGTAAAGAATGGATTAAGGTGAAATCTGTAAGAAGTGCCAGGAAATACCAAAAATAGGAACTCTAGGAGAAAAACTGTAAACTCTATGGAAAGTAAAATTGGAAGTTTGGAGAAGATGGATTGTTTTAAACATGTTCTAGCTAAAGGTGTAAACCCCTGTGATATTCAGGGCAACTTCACCGGAGCGGCAGTGTTTTCTTTGTCCTGCGTATTGATTGATTGCAGACTGTGAGAGACATGTATCCCCATGAGCTCTTGTATCCCCAGCACTATGCTAGTCACTAAAGATGTAACTATGAACTAATAGAATCTTGGAGTGTGAGGGGACAGGCAGATGGGAGAAGTGATAAGAGGCAAGGGATGAGGTGTGATTCTCAGTGGCATGATCTAGGATAAAGGATCCTCCTTTACGTATTCCCAAACCCCTAGTGTGTGACCAGAGAGTAGGCACTAAAGCCCAGTGGCATGTGTTTGAGTTAAGAAGTGCACTTTTAGGATATAAATAGATGTTACTAACCAGTGCCATGGGTTGTAACAATGAATCTTAAATTCTCAGAGTTTACCCTTCTTTACACATGTCCACACTGGGCTTCAAGAACATCATTTTACTGTGAGGGAGTTGAGTTTTTAAGATTTTGTTTTCCTTTTAAATGATAAAGCTAAAACTTTACCATCGTGTGAACCAGTATGATATGTCCTCACTTATGCTTTAAGAATTTTTGCCTTTTTTCTTCTCTAAACAATTGGAAATAATTTTTCCTACTAGCTGTCCTTTAACTTTTAATATAATTTATTATTTTGTACAAGAAGTGCTACTATATGTAAATAATACCTAACCTAAAATTATACCTGAACCCGATAAGCAGATGATACAGAATGATGGTAGAGACTTTTTATGCTGACTGGTAAGATACAAAATTGGTAACACTCCCTAACACTTAAGAATTTGACTTTTTTAAAAAATTGATTGGTCTTTTTAGGCAGAATGGCTAATGCGGATCTGGTGAAGTATGGTTTGGCTGATGTGGTAGAAAATCCTGGTATCATCACTGATATAGGGATGAAAGCAGTCAATGAAGTTTTTTCCTGTATCAAATATCTGGCAATTTACAATTGCCCTCATCTACACAACCCATACAATTGGATCTCAGGTATTACAGACTTACAAATACAGCTATGTTTTATTGATACTGAAATAATACAATTGTCCTTGTTTTCTGTGTGTGATATGATTGCATTCCTAATGTAAACTGTAGGTATTTCGTTTGGATTGTTCATACAAGTTCTGGTAACCTTTGATAACTAGTTGGAAGTATATTCAATGCCTCTTTAAACTTCTGAAGGTTTCTACCTGGAAATTTATACTCTCCAGGTTGTGGATTCAAGTGCCCTGATTTTTATATGTACTTCTTTGGGCTAGGAATATAAAATTAAGCTTAGTTCATTGCTACCTAGGACTTAGGATAGGGTAGTTATTTTCTCAGAATTATCTTCACAATGGCACATCATCTGAAAGGACAAAGTAGGTATGTATTTTGAACTTTCATTGAGTGACATTAACCTGAGATAAAAATTTCTATTGACTAGAAATCCCAGTCTATTTCAGACCTACCCCTCCAATCTCCTATATGTAGAAGTGTGACTTTTGCACTTGATATTTTTCCCTTATGGTGGTAGTTCATTTTCCTCTCAGAGTAATGTCATCTGTTGTCTTAAAGGCCCTTCTTAAATACCGAAATTTACAAACCATTAAATAAATTGAGAGCCTGAGAAAGTTGTACTTGTGACAAAGCCTCTCACTGACACCTACAGAACAGCCTCCTCTGCTGTTGAGTCACTTGACCAGGATCTGTATCTCCTCACAAAGCTACTATCCAGGCTTGTTTTAGGGCTGGGACCTCTGCTGAGATCACTCATTAATATAATCATGTCTCATGTGCCAGCAGCAGTTAAATTCTATCCCTGGCCCTGCTGAACCAAGAAGTTACTGGGAAATATGAACTTTAGGATGTAGCAGGCGTAGATGACTTTAAAAAAATAACATTTATTGGGTTTTTGGTTTGTTTGTTTTCTTAAATACAGAAGAGTATAAAGAAGAAAACAAAAAATGGCCTATAATCCCATCACTCAGAATTCCTGTTAACACTTAAAAAAATAAAAGTAATACATGCACTTGATAAATTTCAAACAGTACAGAAAGGTACAAAATGAAAACTCTCCTCTTCTCAAAGGTAACCATCATCAACAGTTTTTTGTATATTTTTCTGGACAAATTATGCATATTGCAGCATATATATGTGTAGCATTTAAAAATAATTTATATTATACCAAAGGATCTTACTGTGTATACACTGTCCTATAGCTTGTTTTTTGTACTAAGTATAATTTGGAGAGTTTTCCATGTCAGCAAGCATATTAAACTCTCCTTCATTCTTTTGAAATAGCTACATGATGTTCTATTAAATAAATATGCCATAATTTTTTAATTCAGTGTCCTATTGTTGAAAAGCCATGTAGGTTGTTGAGTGGATCACATTTAAATCAGGGCTGATTGGATTCAAATTAATGTTCCCCAGGCCATTTAGTTCTCACAATGGAATTAGGTATGTAAACATCATAATTTAGAATCATCAGGTTTTAGAAGTCATGAAAAAAAGGAAAAGTTATTTAATAAAAAAGGATTTGAAAGTCTTTGTGACCTGTATCAAAATTCATCAGTAATGGGGAAAGTGTTACTTATGTTTTCTCTGGTCATGTCATTTCTTCAACAGACCACTCAAGATGGACTCGATTGGTTGATATCAACCTAGTACGGTGCCATGCTTTGAAGCTGGACTCTTTTGGCCAGTTTATTGAATTGTTACCCAGCCTAGAGTTTATTTCACTGGATCAGATGTTTCGTGAACCACCCAAGGTAAGATACATTTGAGGGAGTTTTTGTTTATTTTGATACTCAGGAAAGAAAATAAAAACAGCCTGTGATTTTTTTTTTTTTTTTTTTTTTTCAACAATATGCCTTTACGGTGTTATAGTCAGACTTTTTACTGCGAGCCTCCGTGAAAGCATAAAGGTTGTAATAATGCATGGCCTCTCATTCTTCTAAATGAGAATTAAGGGTTCTCTGGGGAAGGGTAAGGAAGAAGTAAGTGGAAGCCGTCTCTGTTAGTATATAAACAAAAGGTAAGGTGAGGGTGAGGCTGGAAATTTAAGACAGAAATTATTACGTGGAATAATTCATTGGTGGATTAAATATAATTGGGTTGGTAGATTAAATCTAATTAGGAACCCAAAGTATAAATAAGAATTAAGGATTTATTTGGGGAGTGTTTTACTTTGCTGCTATCTTTCTGTTAAGTTGTATAGCCTGGGAAATCTGAGGTTGCCCAGTTTTACAAAATGTTATTTTCAAACTGCTTAACATATAGAACTTTGTACTGTTAAGGTAATTAAAAACTTAATCCTTCAACCATTTGTGCTCTCTCTTATCAGTTATTAATGGTTACATTCCCACTGTTGAAGCAGTACAATATAATGGGGAAAGCTCCGGATTCGAGATCAGAATCCTGGTTTCAAATTGCAGCTGTACCACTTACTGGCCATGTGCTGTTGGGCAGATCTCTTCTCCTTGTGTGACTCGTCATCTATAAATTAAGCCAGTAACCCTTTATCGATCTTGAAGTGTTGCAGGCCTTAAATAAGATTTTCTATGTGTATGTGAAAGCATTTCATAAATAAGTACTATATAAATATTAGTTCTAATGTAAAGGTGAAATGAAGGGATATTAAAAATGAAGTGATAGATACTAACCCAAATTAATAAACATATGTGTTTTGGTTTTGCCTTAGGGTTGTGCTCGAGTTGGTCTGAGTGCAGGCACAGGAATTGGGGTTTCATCAGCTCTTGTTAGCAACCAGAACTCCAACAATGACGATAATAATGCCCAGAATAACAATGCCAACATCCACGACAACAATCACCATCACCCAGATGACTCAGACGAGGAGAATGACTTTCGGCAAGACCTACAGCCAGGAGAGCAGCAGTTTGCAGCTGACGGTAACCCAGATCTTTTGTGAGCTCCAGACAGAAATGATTTTTACTTTGTATTGTATTTCTGCTTTATCCTGTTCCCTTTTGCCCCTGTTTCAACTTGTCACTTTCCACACTGAGGAAAGTTAGTTGATAAGGAAAATTTTTCTCTTTTCTTGCTTGTTTCAAAACTGTTTTTGTCCACAGACTGTGTAAGAATACTTACAGAATGGGAGGGATTACAGATGCCGGGGAAATTAGGGTAGAGTGGTAACTCTTGAGGTCTGAGACTGAACTTTCAGGATTTAGACAAAGGAGTATCTTTTATTGTCTCCCAGACCAATGGATAGCATGAACATTAAGAGCATTTCTGGATATTTGAAGAACTGAAAGATTAATACCAACCATGGGCTACACATTGGCACCTTTCATGTACCTTTAATCATTAGGTCTTCACTTCCACACAGCAGATTAAGTACATTAGCTAAGAAGGACTATTCTATTTCATTTATGTAATTGTCTGTCCAGTTCGTTAATATATACTGAATACTTGCGGTGTGCCAACCCATGTGTGAAGGTGCTCCATCCATCCCTCTGTTGATGAGTGAAGTGATGTAAGATTGTTTTGTTACCAAATTTTCCAGTTTCCCAGTTCACGCTTAGGAACTAGAAAAGGAATCTTTTCTAGCCATCCTTTTGTTGTTCCCCATTTGCCTACTCTTGCACATAGTAATTAATGAGAAATAGGGTACTCCGATACTACGTACCTGCTTTTACAATGAGATGTACTGTGTACAGGGCATGATTTCCTTTAGGGACACTCTGAGTATACAGTTTTTGACAAAAGAATCATCTGTAGACAATGTCTTCACTTTCTCATCTCACTTGGTCCCTATAGAACTCTCCACTTTGGCTCTTGGCAAAGTCACTAGTGATTGTCTTACTGAATCTGAAGGTCATTTTGCGACTTTCATCTAATTTGACATCTCAGCAGCATTAGACATTGTTGCCTAGACTTGTACACTCTTGAGACACTTTCTTCTCCCGGCATCTCTGAAACCATTTTGCTGATTTTTCTCCTACTTCATTTTCCTTTGCTTGTAGCACCTCCTGTGTTCCACTTTTGTCCACGATAGCTTACTCTACACATTTTCACTCAAGCTCAAGGTTTTAGTACCAGCTATATGGTATTAAATCCAAATCTTTATTTCCAGCCTTGACTTTTATGCTTTTCTGCAGTAAATGCAGCTGTCTAGCTCTGTACTTTATGTCCATGGTGTACTCTTATGCATTTCAAACCTAGGTAAAATCTTTCCCCAACAATCTCCCTTAAAAATGCAAAAATAAAAGTGCAGAGCCAACAGGTGTTAAGGGAACGAGAGGGCAAGACAGTCACATATTGTCCCTTTGCTTAGTTGTCCTGAGTGCTATGGTACCTAGTACAGGTTACTACCACCATAAAGATCTGCGTGTCAGGACATGGACTCTACATGGGAAACTTACAGCAGCTGCCATTCAGAACTACCCAAATCCTGTGAACTCATTTTTGGTTTGAGTTGACACACAGATTATAGACTTCACTAGAAGATTAATTTGCCATAGACTTCTTCTCAGTACAGTGGAGAGTACCTGCCATTGTGAAATCACATATTGTTGCAACAAGGACCAAAAAGATACTCAACAACATATTTGATTTAATTTGTATCTGTATTTGATTTAAGAGAGGAAAATGGAACTTACATCTTAATTTGATTTGTAAATATGGTTTCAGAAGATGAGAGATTTGGCATAAAAATCAAATACACAAGATACAGGATAAGCTATTTTGATTTAAGAAGCCATAATTACAATGAAAGGATTCAGCTTCAGCAGTTACCTAGGACTATTGTCAAGTACAGTATCTTCAAAATGCTGTTTAATCCTGAGAAGCAAAGAATAAATACATAATGTGTAAAGCATAATTGTATAAAGCATACGTAAATGCCAGGATTGAAGGATTAAACAGCTTCAACAAGAGGAAGCCAAAGAAAACCGGAGGCAATGGCAGCATTTGTAGAGAAAGGAAGATTGATAGAAAACATTAGATTCCACAGGTCACTCCCACGTGGTAGTGTGTTCAGTTGTATTTGTTATTAAACATGTATACACACACACACAACACACACACACATATAAGTTAGATTCCCCCACACACACACACAAAATAAGGAACTAGTAAAAGACTGATCTTTGGTTGAAATAAAGAGAAATACAGGGCTTCATAATAAAAGGGGTAATGGGGAATTATGTTAAACAGTTGACTAATATTGATGGTTCACATCTTCAAGTGAAAATAATAATTTAAAAATTTCTTTGAAATGGGTATTAACATGTTCACTCTCCTTTATATATAATTTGAAGACTTTTCACATCTGGACCGGGTGCAGTGCACTTGCCTATAAGCTAAGGAGGTTGAGGCGGGAGGATGGCTTGAGTAGGGAGTTTTCAAGGATGTAGTGAGCTATGATCACACCATTACACTCCAGCCTGGGTGACAGAGGGAGACCTTGAGTCTTAAAACAAATCTTTACATGCATGGCCTTTACTTGGTTTTGGACCCGCCCCAGAATGAAGCAGCACCAGTCTTAATTGCTCCATTGTATTTAACTTCTTCAGCTTGCATGAGGTAATTTACTATAAAAGAGGGGCATTGTATAATTTTAAAAGCTATTTAATTTGTATAAATTAACTCCAACAAAACTATGATTTATTGTTTCACAGTTGCTATATTTATCAAAATTTTATAATTTGACAGGATATTATCTTAAATTTGTACTTTCAGAAGTCTTAGAACTTAGAGTACTCAATTATGAGCTAGTTAGCTGAAAATATAACTTGATTACCTGAATTTTGCAGCATTCTAGAATAAGAATAAATGTTTACAGTTTTTGGTGGGGTTTTTTTGTTGTTGTTGTTTTTGTGTTTTTTTGTTTTTTTGTTTTTTTTGAGATAGAGTCTCACTGTCACTCAGGCTGAAGGGTAGTGGCGTGATCATAGCTCACTGTAGCCTCAAACTCCTGGGTTCAGGTGATCCTTCCACCTCAGCCTCCCGAGTAGCTGGGACTACAAATGCGTGACACCACTCTCAGCTGATTTTTCAAAAAAATTTATGTAGAGATAGGGTCTCACTGAATTGCCCAGTCTGGTCTTGAACTTTTGGCCTCAAGTGATCCTCATGCCTCAGCCTCCCAAAATGCTGGGATTACAGGCATGAGTCAGTCACTGTGCCCCACAATGTTCATTTTTTTTTAACAATTTACATTTGCCTATAAGTATCAAAATTATGCTTCTGTAATTGCTAAAGCATAGTGTCTATTTTTATGTAACTACTTTTTATGTAATTATAACTTTAAAGCATAGTTTTACCTATACATCATTTAACTAATTTTCTCTCTTGATTTAAAACATACATTCCAGGTACTTAATGCTTTTAAATATGGCATCATGGTGAACCTCTTTTCTCATCCCTCCACCCCAGTTAGCCTAAATTGACTGCCAAGTGAAATTGCTCTGCAGTTTTATTTATGGCAGTGGTTTTTAAACTTGAGTGTGCATCAGAATCACCTGGAGGACTTGTTAAAACACGTTGCTGATTTTTGCGCTCAGTGTTCCAGTTATTTGGTCTGTGTGAGGCTAGATAATATGGTTTTGTTTTTGTTTTTAAATAGAGATGGAATCTCATATATTGCCCAGGCTGTCTCAACTCCTGGGCTCAAGCAATCCAACCAACTCAGCTTCCCAAAATGCTGGGGTTACAGGTGTGAGCCAGTGCTCCAAGCCAATAATTTGATTTTTTTTTTTTTTTTCTTGAGACAGAGTCTCACTCTGTCTCCCAGGCTGGAGTACAGTGGCACGATCTTGGCTCACTACAACCTCCACCTCCTGGGTTCAAGCGATTCTCCTGCCTCAGCCTCCCAAGTAGCTGGGACTACAGGCACGTGCCATCACACCCAGCTAATATTTTGTATTTTTAGTACAGATGGGGTTTCACTGTGTTAGCCAGGATGGTCTCGATCTCCTGACCTCACAATCTGCCCACACTGGCCTCCCAAAGTACCGGGATTATAGGCGTGAGCCACCATACCCAGCCAAGAATTTGAATTTTCAGCAAGTACCCAGGTGGTGCTGATGCTGCTGGTCTGGGACTATACTTTGAAAACCACTGATTTTGTAAAATTTTTATTTTTGAAGCCTAAGGGGTTTGCAGTCTGAAAAAAAAAAACAGTAAATGTATTTTGTTTTATACTTTGGGGCAGGTAGTTGTTAACCACTAAATATTATGTCTGATAATAAATTTCTATTAATTTATGCAACAATTTCGTTGCATAAAAATTATTTTGTTAAGAGGCAATGAATTCTTTATAACACTTTTTTTTTACAGCTGAAGTAACATTTCAGCTAAACAAAACATTTGATGAATATTGATACTTGATTATAAGTTAGCATACATATGTATGTATGTATAATATATATGTATACATATATATAACTTTCTGTAAGTTAAAACTGTTCTGAAAAAGATGTACTACCATAATGATAAAATATTTTCCAACAAAGGAAAAAAGTCAAAACCATGAATCATTTGTATCTTCACTAGCCCAGAGGCACCACCATCCAATTTAATTACCAGAGACTAAAATCAAGACATTATGCTTTTTGTCAAAACCAAGAATCTTTTGTGTCTTCACTAGCCCAAAGGCACCACAATGCGATTTAATTACCAGAGACTAAAATCAAGACATTATGCTTTTTTCTTTACTTCCTAACTGCTCTCCAAGACATTGAGTCATTTACCAAATCTTGTTGAATGTCTCTAATACATCTCTCCAGTATGCCTACATCTCTCCTTTCCCATTGTACTACCGCTACATACATTTTTTAACCTAAGTGTTTTAATAGCTTTAAAATTGGCCTATTTTCTTACCCAGCTAAAATTAGTTCTTACAGCAGCCAAGGCAGTCTTTTAACAAACCAGACAATATTGATAGCTTACTCAAAACTTTTTAATAGCTTCCCATTGCCTTGGAATAAGATCCAGGTTCTTGAATTGGACCACCAAGTGCTGTATGATCTGGCCTGCCCTCATCTTGTACTGCCTCCACCACTACATCATGCTTGAGCATGACAGCTGGTGTCTACCATTGCACTAACTACTGCCTCTTAGAATTCCCTCCCTCCATCTTTTCATGGCTGGCTCCTTCTTGACTTTTAGTTCTTAGCTTAAATGTTAATCTCAGAGATGTCTTTCCTTGCCATCTGATCTTAAGCAGCCACCAGTTTATTCTCTGTCACATCACACTTTTTGTTACATAAGACATTACTATCTGATGTTTTTATTTTTATTTTTTAAATTTTTTCTTCCCCAACTAGAGTAAGCCGTGAGACTAGGGATCTTGAATATCACCACTGTTTTTCAGCTCCAAGGAATACTAACAAATTGTAGTAGACGCTCAGTAAGTATTCAAATGGATGCAAAGAAATCGTTTAAACAGCTTTTGGGTATCATATTAAATGTTTGCACAGGCTATTCTGGCAACCTAAAAGCAGTTGCTCAGCAGCTTTGGAAAACCTTATCACGTTAATATTTGAATGTACTTCTTTTCATGCCATTCCCTGCATAAAAACCTTCTAGTGGTTTCCCTCTGCCTACAGCAAACAATTCTAAGCTTTTTAGCAAGGCTTTCTAAGCTTTTAACAATCTGGAGCCCAGGCTACCTTTTTAGCCTTGTTTTTTCTTTTGCATCCCTATCACAACACAGATACTGTTTTTTGTTACCACTGGACCACTATTCTTCCGAAAAATGTAGCATTCTTCCTGGTATGGTAGTATATGAAATGTTACCTTATTTCAGTGAACCCTTCCTTGACCCAATGAGAGAATTAGTTGCTCCTTGTCTATGTTCCCTTTGCACTTTTGAATTGTTATAGGGCTTAGCAATTATATTCTGACCTTATTTTATGTGTCTAACATCTTTGCCAGTATGTGTGCATCCTCTTTGAGAGCAAGGAGTATAAATTTCCCACCTGCCCGTAGTTTCTGTAGTGTAGTAGGCTCTAGAAACTGCTCAATTTAAATCCTAGCAAACTATTAAAACGTCTAGTCCTCCATTTCCTCAACTGCAAAAATCAGGCTAATAATAATGCTAGCCTGATTGCTATGAGAAATAAATAAGAAAATGTTTCTATAAACATTTAGCATAGAGCCTGCCATAGAGTATGTACACATTAATTACTGCTACTCATAATTGTTAGTCAGTTGAATGAAAGAAGAAAATTGATTGGTTTTTATCATGAAAGATTTCTAGGCAAGGTCATTTCTCATTTTGGCAATGACTGAAATATAGATATTGCAGGCTAGAGCTGGACAATTATTCAGGGGGAGGTGTGCTATTGTGTATATTTAAAACCAAAGCAATTCCCACTGTCCCCATGAAATTTCAAACCTCTCCCATATAATTCAGTGACGTTAATCTGAATGGTATCTTTTTGGCTTAATCGTATTTTGCCTTGTTTCTTTGTTAACAGTTTGAGTTTGTATGAGTTTGATGGGCTTTCTCCACCAAATGTTCCTTTCCCATCTGTGATTTTCTCTCCTGTAGACTGATTAAATACTTCTTAATCTCTGCAGTAACAAGCACAGTATATGCAGTATATGCTATTCTTTCAGGGCAGGCCTAGTAATCAGCGGGACTGTTCAATTCTTAGGGCGGCCACAGTTTTGCCTGCCATTGTAGTTCTTTATACTTCTCTTGGTTTTTACTTTGTGTATATTTTTGTTTAAGCATTAAATGAGATGGAAGACATCGTCCAAGAAGATGGAGAGGTGGTGGCCGAGAGTGGAAATAATACTCCAGCTCACAGCCAGGCAATTATTCCTGTGGATGTTGATGAGGAACAAGCAGGTAATCATGTGATCTACCCCACATTCATCATTCTGAAACTGTGGCCTAACTCTAATGAAGTACGTGAGACACCGAGAATAGTTGTTTTCTGACCTTTCAGCTAATGATGTGTTTTATGCTATTGATTACTGAGAACTGTAATACATTGCTGGTATTCTCGTTGCATGTACATATATCTCACTAAAGTTTGTCTTTTATTATTTGTGACTGTAGCAACAACTGCTTTTTCTGTATAGCCACATGTGCATGTGTGTATCCGTGTATGTATAGAAAAAGAAAGCACTCAAATTGTTGATGGGAAAATAAATGACCTGATTAAATATTCTGCTTTTGCCCTCCCCTCAATTCAGTTAGAGAGGAGGAGCAGTTGAGAAGTTGACCTGGTTTAGTAAACAGACCAAAACTTAGCCTCTGTTTGCCATTGGCTGACTTAAGACAGGATATAGAGTCGTAGGCCCTTAAAGATTAACTCGCACAGCCTTTCATTTTACAGATGGGGAAATTAATTTTCTTTCAAAAGTTTAAATGATGTGCTCAACACCAGTCAGCCAGTAATCGAGGGATAGAATTGAAATTGAGAAAACTCAAGTTTTCTCATTCCCTGCCTGTTAGAATGCTGCCTTGTCTTTGAATGGAAAATATGCTACCCTGTTTTAAGTGTGTGACAGATGCAGTCACTCATTCAACAAATATTTATTGAGTGCCTACTCTGTGTCAGGCATTGTACAGTGTGACAGGAAGAAAGCTAGGTTCCTCGGAGCATACATTTATTGATGGAGCTAATATTAGTCACTTGTCAGAGAGAATTAGGTTATAAGAACTAGGTTTAAAAGCTATACTGCCAAGCAGATAAAACATTTTTTACATAAATACACATATTCAACCAAAAGGTAACATGCATCTAGCCTTCAAAAATATATCTGCTACATCTAATGAGATAGATCCATACTCAAAGAATACAGTCTTGTTTACCAGTCCCATACATTTCTGAATTCATCTTCATTTACTTAACCTTGGCTCATATGTTTGAAAAATTGAGAAAATATGTAGCTTATTTTTAAAATTATTATCACTGTTATTTAGATTATTTTTAGGATGATTTTATGCTACTCTTTGAAATAGTGAAGATCCTGCAAGGGAATGCTGTATGAGTGTCTTATTTTAATTTGCCTTTAGAAATGCATCAAGTTGGTTGGCATATTAATCATACTTAATGTTGACATAATGGTTTAGAGTTAAGTTGCTTTCACAGTATCTTATCCAAGTGTATTATCAGTTAAAATGTGTGCCAGGGGAGGCTGCATAGAGCCACAAAGCATCTCTATTGATTCCAGAGCCCTGGAAACAGTGCTTCGTATTAGACCCTTTCTTGCACAAAAAGTAACTGTTAGGCCTGTACTTTTTTTTTTTTAGGACCCAGTGGTCTTCAGCGTGTAGTAAAACCAACCCCAATTACTGTTCATGATTCAGAGAGCGATGATGAAGAAGATAGTCTAGAACTCCAAGAAGTCTGGATTCCTAAGAACGGTACTCGGCGTTACTCTGAACGTGAAGAGAAAACTGGAGAGTCAGTGCAGTCCAGGGAATTGTCAGGTGAGAAATTATGTCTTTCTCTGAACTCTTAATGACAGTCACTATCAGAACTGACACACTTGGCCTTAATATGACAACTTGGGTGCAGTTAACATATATTATGGAATGTGACAGGAAGCAAGAAATGCACTTGCCCAAGTAAGAGGGAAATCTGGGTGGTGCTCTTTTAGGCAATACAACACAACAGTGGTGTGGAATGAGGGCTCAGGGAAGAAAAGAAGGATTCTAAGTCTACAGTGGAGGCTTTAGTTGTGGCATCAGGGTGTCAGAGATTAGTGAGTGAAAAGCCTGTGCCTCATGTAAGGAATGACTACTGAGTCATCCAGAGCAATGAAAAGCAACCATTCACCAGTTGATAATCTGTCCAGTTGTGCTTAATGAGTATTGGTGGCTAGTTTGGTGCTTGAAGGAGTCCTAAAGTATATTTTTATAATCCCTCACATCCCTTTAAATCTAGGCAACAACCCTCTGCAATGCCTCACCAAGAAACTGTACTTCTCTTAACTTTGAAGTTCATACTTCTTCCTTGTCTTTCCTTCCTTTTTGTTTCTCCGAACCATGTGCTTACCACTTTTAGCAAAGGATATATTTTTTACAAATTGTCCAGTCATTTTTCCTTGGGTACCCTTACTCCTTAATATTTTTGAATGTTCAATACACATTTGACACTGACCCTGAAACATTTATGTAGTACTATTATCTGGAAAGTTTAGTTCTTTGGACTTGGAATAATTTGCTAATCATTGGCTGATTATTCAATTTCTGTTTCTTTTAAGAGATTCAGATAACTTTATACTGTGGTTGAAAGAAGGTTTTATGGAAACTGAAATTTAGGAAAAGTAATATGACCAGCTGACTAACCTAACTTTCCCAGACCGTGCAGTTTCTAAATTTAGCAACTAAATCCTCTGTTGGCCAGACAAAACCTATTTATTCCTTTATATCTTCATTGAGCTTTATTGTGCCCCAGGTATTGTGTTAGGCACTGTGAGGGATACAGAGATGAGTAAGTGGTGGTCTCTCTTTACAGAAGTTCTAGTCTGGTTGAAGAGTCATGTCAAAAACAATAGGTAGTAATATTACAGGGCACATACTACAACCACAGTTGATTTGGGGTGGGGGTGCAGAAGAGATGGAGTAGAGGACCAGGGCTGAAAAATTGGTGAGAACAAAGGCCCTGAGGTAGTAAAGCAAGGGTATATTGAGAGAAAAGCTGGAGCTGGAATGTAGAATGTATATGGAGGGGACAACATGGAAAGATGGTTTGGAATTAGATCATAGCGAGGCTTGAAGGCATAGTTAAGGAGTATAAACCAGGTAGACACTAGGGAGCCATAGAGAATTTTATAGCAGCTCAATGATGTGATCACAGTTATACTTTAGGAAAATTAGTGTTTAGTATACATTATTTCCTGTTCCAAATTTACTCTTGCGTGTTGTCCAGAATTTGTACTGAAATCTTTTCTTTTCCTCGGGCCGTTCTTCTTTTTCTATAAGCAGTAAGTGGAAAAGGCAAGACTCCACTTCGAAAGAGGTACAACTCCCATCAGATGGGCCAGTCGAAGCAGTTTCCCCTCGAGGAAAGCAGCTGTGAGAAAGGCTGTCAGGTCACCAGTGAGCAGATCAAAGCCGATATGAAAGCAGCTAGGGATATTCCTGAAAAGAAAAAAAACAAGGATGTTTATCCCAGCTGCAGCAGCACCACCGCCAGCACAGTGGGAAACTCCAGCTCACACAGCACTGCTTCTCAAAGCCCCGACTTTGTAAGGACGGTGAACAGCGGCGGCTCTTCCGAGCCTAGCCCTACAGAAGTGGATGTGTCCAGGCAGTGTGCCTGCTCCCCCGGTGGGTCAGAGGACTCTGAGGCCATGGAGGAGGGAGATGCAGAGAGTTCTGTCTGCCCCAGATGCTGCTGTCACAGGCCCCAGGAATCCCAAAGGAGAACTAGCAGGTGTTCTGATGAGGAACGTCCTTCAACCAGCCGAGCCTGTGTTGTGAATGGCCCGGATGGTACGAGATCCGCCTTTTCCTTTAGGACTCTGCCACAAGGGGGGTCTTCAGGCCCAGCACATGATGAGAGGACTAATGGGAGTGGCTCTGGGGCTACAGGTGAGGACAGGAGGGGGAGCTCCCAGCCTGAGAGTTGTGACGTGCAGTCTAATGAAGACTACCCTCGGAGGCCCCTAACCAGGGCCAGGAGCAGACTGTCCCATGTACTGCTGGTATCTGAGTCAGGTATGACAATGCTCCTAGGATTAGCAACTGCAGGGTAGGGCTGCAGAAAGGCATGAACTTGTTTCATGAGTTTTCTTACAAAAAGCCAGTTTGGCAAATTAAATTCTGTTTTGGGGTTTTGTGGGTCTTGCAGATTTTAAACTAATTTTCAGCAATGGTTTGGTGGGTGGGGGTGTAAAACAGTTTATACATTGTCCAACCTGGAAATCTCAAGTAGTTCAGCTTTTAAGGAAAGTGGCACTGTGTATATTTACCCTAAATATAACACTGACTGACACCTAAGCCCCAGTAGATGAACTCTGCTACCATCACACACTTAGAGAAGTCTTAACTTAGGAAAGTTTTAAACCTTAGCCAAAAGGCAAGGACTTGACGTTGCTGGAGCTGGGGCAGCACATCTCAGTGCAGCTTCCTGGGTATAGCCCTCTCTTTGTCTCTGCAGGACTTAGTAATTTTTTCAGAAATCTAGTTTTGCTTCAATTCAAGTAAGGTTTGCCAGGAGATAAGCAGGTAAGTAAATGGTTTGGCTGAGAATTATTTTGGTGAAAATACTCAGAACAAATAATGTGTATTTAATTTCATTAATGTTTATAATGTATAGCCAAGGAATTGGGTGGAATGGGTGTAAGCACATTTATTAATCATAAGTCTGTTTCTATTTCTGATCTTATTTTTAAGTACTCTTTCCTGCCCTTATTATATCATTACTACCTGACAGTGAATAATAAATGTATTTTAATTTTCTTCAAGTAGCCCTCAATTTTAAAATATTAAAATCAGTCCCAGAACATAGGCAGTCAGTGCTTTTTGTATATTTTAAATAGAAGTAATTGAATCATACAGAGCTAAACAGAACAAAAGTAAGCTTTCATGAGATACATTTGAGACCTTAATTGTGTGCTAGTTACCATAGTTGCATAAACTCATTGAAATAGATGAGTTTTATTTGAAGACTTTTTTATGCTTTGCAAACAGTAGTTCTGCCATATGGTGAAAATACTTTTCCCAGCTTCAATTGTAAATGTTTGATAATATCTTTTTTAAAAAATTGGTGGTAAGATATAACTTTACCATTCAGCACAGTGTGTAATTCAGCGGCACTAAATACATTCACCTTGTTATGCAGCTGTCACCACCAACCATCTGAACTTTTTCATCATCCCAAACTGAAACTCTGTGCCCATTAAACAGTATCTGCCTCCTATGACACCTTTTGTTGTGTGGTTTTTCATATTTGCAAAGTCAGATCTGTGTGTTTTCCTTTATGAGTTCATTTTTATACTGTGAAAGGCCTTTCCTACACTTGGTTCAGATAATTGTGCCCATCTTCTTATTCCTTTATTCATTGATTTCAGTTTAGTTCCTTAGTTCAGTTGAAATTTTATTTCAATCTGTGGGAACTAATATTAAATTTTTATTCCAAACTATCACCAGCTTGTTTCAGTACTGGTTATGGATATCCATTCTTGTGCTATTATTTTGAAACGCTCTTTTCTCATCTACTAAATTCTTAGACATACTTAGGTTAATCTCTGGTCATTCTATTCTGTTCCAGTGTTCTGTCTTCTTTCGTTATTCTTTTTCAAAATCTCCTTGACTAGCCATGCATTTGCCATTTATTTTTATAGATATGCTTTGTAATATTTTTATCAAGTTCCAAAAACTAATCTTGCTTTTTGTTTGGAATTGCATTCAATTGATAACTGAAACATAATTGTCATTTTAACAGCACTGAGTCTTCCTGTTTAGGGACTGTTATGTTTGCCGTTTTATTTACATGTCTTGATAAAATTTTTTCGTTTTTTTGTTGTTTTGTTTTTAATACAGAACCTTCATATTAACCATTGAAGTTTTGATATTATTTTTTGCCTGGTGTTCTGCTTATCCCTTAACTATTTTATTCTGACTTTTTTCATGTCTAGAACTTTTTTTAAGTTAAATCATTCTCTGGATTTAAAATAAAGAAAATATTTATGTAGTGCTTCTTATTGCATTTATTATGTGATTTTTTTTTCAATTTGAGAAGACTTCTAATGTCTGTAACATGGTTATACTAGGTAAATTAGTTGCTAATATATTTTAGATTTATAAAAATGTCTATTTACTTTGAATAGTAGTTTTTTGGGGTAGATATCAAAGTACTGATTTTAATATTATTATAGTCCCTTTTGGAAAGGACAAGAAGTTATTTGGGTGGCTTACAAATTATGATTATGATTATGATTATGATTATGATTATTTTTGAGATGAAGTCCTCTGTGTCGCCCAGGCTGGAGTGCAGTGGTGCCATCTCAGCTCACTGCAGCCTCTACCTCCCGGGTTCAAGTGATTCTCCTACCTCAGCCTCTCGAGTAGCTGGGATTACAGGCGCCTACCACCATGCCTAGCTAATTTTTGTGTTTTTAGTGGAGACAGGGGTTCCCCATGTTGGCCAGGCTGGTCTCAAACTCCTGACCTCAGGTGATCCACCCACCTCAGCCTCCTAAAGTGCTGGAATTACAGGCATGAGCCACCGTGCCCGACCCAAATTATTTTTAATCTGGCATGTTTTTTAAAGAGAAAAATCCAAACTAATAAAGGAAGAAACTTGAATGTTAAAGATTTTTAAAAATCAGTTCAAAAAAAAGTAACATTTGAGATATTTGGTTTTTAATTTATGACCCTGTGGAGTGTTAAAGCCATTTTAGAAGCTAATATAATTGTTTTGTGAATTTATATTTTGGGAATAAATACCTGTAAGTTGCTTTTAATCCTCACTGTATAACAATTTATAAAGTAAATATTAGAGAAATAAATAATTGGAATGTTATCAAAGAATAACATTTAAGATTAAAATAGTTGCTATAAATGTTAAACACTTTCCCTGACACCCCAAGACTGGATTGATCTGCCTTTCTCTGTTTCTGTAGCATCTTCAACATTAATGTGAACCACACTCTGTTGTAATTTCTTGTTTTACTGTCTTCCTTTCTGGTAGACTGTGAGCTCCATGAGAACAAGGACAGTCTCTGCTTTTTCACCAGTATATTTCTATCCTTTAGCACCATGTCTTACACATGGTATGGGGCTTAGATAATAACTGTGAACATAATAAGTATAGACACCATCATATGAGGTATTGTTGATGCTAGTGGATGTTTTGAATTACTAAAAAAATGTTCCTAAACAAAATTAATTTTCTCTAAACAGGGAGGGAGGCATAAGAGAATAACAACAAACACACAAACTTTTTTCCTTATGTATCAGAAATGTTTGTTTTTCAAGCTCATATATGTATAAAGTGTGACTTCATTTTATAACTTTTCTTAGAAAATGTAAACTACCAGTTTGGGTACCCTGGAGAGCAGGAAACTTTACCTAATTTTGAACCCCATACTCTGTTAAATTAAGGGGGAAGGGAGAGAGCAATCCAGAAAGGTGAGATACTTGAAAATCAGATCACAAAGGGAGATTACTGAGAGAAGATTCTTACTAGAACACTGTCATGTAGTAGTGGAAACAGGCTTGCTTTTTGTTTGTTCTGGGAGAGGGAGCCAGGACTTATTAGAGGTTTTAAAAGGTTTGTGAATTTTGGCTATCAGGTGAAATGTGCTGCCTTTAGAAGGTTCCTTGTCAATGAAGATGATTTGATTTTGGATGAAGTTCCTTCAGGATACTGTGGGAGAAGGCCTACATTGTGTTGTGTGGTTAGTAGTCTTCATGTTTTGTTGGAACTCCAGAATTTTGCTTCGTTTCAAGGTCCTTGGAGGAAGTTTGATGGGTAGAGCCCTTGGGCTCCTTTTCGGCCTTCAGCCAAAGCAGCTGCTTTGAATTGTTTTACAGAGTAGAATTTCACAGACTTCAATGGCGTAGAAAGGATTTTGTTGTGTAAAAAAATCAGACTGAATCTCTACGATTCCCATCTAAGCCCAAGCCTTTGGGAATTTGCAGTATTAGTTCTCATTTCTTTGTCTTTTTTTGTGATCTTTCATGTTTGAGATTACAGAATTACTGATATTACAGAATTACCAAGTAGAATGTTTATAATTAGCAGTACTATCTAAAAAAACAGTATGGTGGTAATTTAATTCGTGAAAGTCGGTTGTATTTAATTCTATATATGCTCTGCTACAGTATGATTAAGTATCAAAAACGAGAATGATGACTAATGTATTTTCTTAGAATATATATGTGCTTAAGTTTTAGCTATGAATTTAGCACTCGTTTTTAAATTAAATAAGGACAATATTTGCTTATTTCGAAGTGTATTGCTTCAGAACAGTACCAGTAAATAAGGGCCTTATTAACCAGGGTTTGACAGATGAAAGATTGCAGGTTTTCTAGCTTAGTAACTGGTGCTAGATTTCCTGGGTTTGACTCCTGGTTCCCATTTAGCACTGTGGCAAGTTTTTGTACCTTCCCGTGCTTCAGTTTCCTAATATGTAAAACAGGGAGAACAATAAATCCATCTCAGAGCTATTGTAAGGATTGAGTTAATACAAGTAAAACCCTTAGAACAGTGCCTGACACACAGTAAGAGCTCAGTAAATATTTGTTATTCTGTTTTACCTGCGGTGCATTCATTCAGTCAGTCATTCATTCTGTAAGTGTTGAGTGCCAGTTCATTCAATAAATGTTCATTTTATCTCATTGCTAGTGACTGACATTGAAATAAAGATGAATTAAGAGAGTGTTGTTGCCTTTAACGAGCTTTTATGTAACTAGACCAACAAAACAAGTATAAAAGGAACTATTAGGGCAGTATGTAATGTGTGGGGATCAAGAGTGCTTTGTTAGAACTAAGTGTTTGAGTTGGACCTTTCCCAGATGGGTCGTATTTCAAAAAGTAGGGTCAGAAAAGGTGTTCTGGGCAGAAGAAGCTAGAGCAATTGATGACTTTGGAGACATTAGCAGTGGGAGATGATAGGGTATGGTGTGGAGAATGGGCAGAGCTGAAGCATAGCTCCAAATGTCAAGCATTGAAACATTCATTAAGCTTCAGTCAATAATTTGAAAGTTTTTTAGTAGGAAAGATAGGAGTTCAATTCACCAATAGTATTTAGGATGGGATGAGTCAGAGAGACTGGAAGTAGGAATGTTTATTAGATTATTAGGATGACCTAGGTATGAGAAGGGTTGTTATATTTGATGTAGATATGTTTGAAGTAATGGAGGGTGATCCTGTTTTGAAACAATCCATTGGAAATGCCAATATAACTGGATTCCATTGGGAACCAAATTGTAGATTTGGGAATTGCCTTGATGGTATTCATACATATGTGATTGAATGTGCTTGAGGGAAAGAAAGCAAGGCTAAAGTTTTGGTTTTTCTTCTTTTTTACCTTTTTTAGAAGTAGCCAAAACAAAGCCACGTCACGCCATGAAACGGAAGCGGACAGCAGATAAATCCACCAGTACAAGTGATCCTGTGATCGAGGATGACCATGTGCAGGTAGAGGAAAATCCCTCACTTACCTTTATCACAGTCTAGCCCAGTTCCTAAGTAATGCATGCAAACTAAAGTTTGTATCTTTATATAGTTTCTAATTTTTCTCCTTGTAGGTTCTTGTATTAAAATCCAAGAATCTCGTTGGAGTCACTATGACCAATTGTGGAATCACAGATCTAGTGCTAAAAGACTGTCCCAAGATGATGTTCATCCATGGTATGTATTTGGGCCCGTATTATACACGAGCATCATGAGTAAGTTAAAAGAATTAGGAACTCATAAATACTGTAATAACATTACCGTCTTATTTTCTTAAAGGAAATATTGTGTTGGGTTATCTTTAGTTCCGCCTTTGTTCTAGTTCTCAAAGTATTACTCTATAGTATTTCTGAGCATCATGTAGAGAAACTTGGTTCATCTTTTAAAATAGCCTGTCTCCAAAGGATAATTACTGCCTGATCTGGCAGAGTAAATAACAGCCTGCATAGGCTTTGGAGTCAGATAGACCTCAGCTTGATTGCTGGCTTGGTCATTTACCAGCTGTGTGACTTGGACATGGTTTTTGAGGGAAGCGCCGACTGGGCCTCAAGTGTATAACTGCTCTGTATTTGATTGAGATGATTAATTGTATCTTTACTTCATGGCACATTATCATTTATCCAAGCCCCTTTTTCTTTTTAGTCTCGTGTCCCTCATTGTTAATCTCATCCGCTCCCACCATCTATACTCGTGTATTGAACATATATCTTTCCAGTGTACCTTTTATGTCTTTCTTTATATATGTGTCTGTCTCAAACATAGGGTATTAATTTTTATGATTTCTTAAAATTTTAGTTATATAGTATATCCTATAATTGATCTATTAATTTTACCTTTTTATTCAAAATTATATTTTAGATATCCATCCATGTAAAATTATGAAGATCTGACTTATTTCCTTGCCTTTGGCAAGTTTTATAATTTTCTGTCTTCATTTTTTTCAATCTGTAAACTGTGCGTAATTATGCTTAACTCATAAAGCATTTGTGAAAGTTAAATGCAGTGATTGATATGTTTCTGTATGTATATGTATACAGGCATACCTTAGAGACACTGCAGGTTTGGTTCTAGACCACCATTATAAAAGGTATATCACAATAAAGCGAATCATATGAATTTTTTTTATTTTCCAGTGCATATAAAAGTTACGTTTACACTATAGTCGATTAAATGTGAAGTAGCATTGTATTTTTTAAAAAAATTTATGTACCTTAATTTAAAAGCACTTCATTGGCTAGGCACGGAGGCTCACTCCTGTAATCACAGCACTTTGGGAGTCTGTGGCAGGCGGATCACCTGAGACTAGGAGTTTGAGACCGGCCTGGCCAACATGGCAAAACTCTGTCTCTACTAAAAATACAAAAATTAGCCAGGGGTGGTGGCTCATGCCTGTAATCCCAGCTACTTGGGAGGCAGAGGCAAGAGAATCGCTTGAACATAGGAGGCAGAGGTTGCAGTGAGCCAAGATCATGCCTCTGCACTCTAGCCTGGACAACAGAGCAAGACACTATCTCAGAAAAAAACAAAATAAAATAAAAACACTTTATTATTCAAAGATACTGACAATCACCTGAACCTTTAGCAAGTCATAATCTTTTTGCTGGTAGAGAGTGTTGCCCAAATGTTGAGGGCCTTGCCCTGGGTTAGGCTTTGGCTTAGGGAATGTAGTGGCTGGTTTGATCTGTCTAGACCACTCAGACTTTCTCCATATCAGCAATATGGCTCTTTTGCTTTCTTACCATTTGTGGGTTCACTGGAATAGCACTTGTAATTTCTTTCAAGAACTTCTCCTTGGCGTTCACACCTTGGTTAACTGGCACAAGAGACCTGGCTTTTGACCTATCTCAGCTTTCAGCGTGACTTCCTCATCAAGCTTAATCATTGCTACCTTTTTATTTTAAAGTGAGATTTGTGACTCTTCCTTTTGTTGGAACACTTGGAGGCCATTGTAGAGTTATTAATTAGCCTAATTTCAACATCATTATATCTCAGGGAGTAGGGAGACCTGAGGGAAAGGGAGAGAGACAGGGGAACAGCCTGTTGGGGGAGCAGTCAGGACATACACAACATTTATTAAGTTCACTTACATTGGTGCAGTTTGTGGCACCCCACAATTAAAATAGTAATATCAGAGATCATTGATCACAGACCACCATAATGGATAAAATAATAATGAAAAAGTTTGAAATACTGCAAGAATTATTAAAAATGTAACACAAAGACTCAAAGTGAGCACATGCTTACTAAAAAAATGGCATCAGTGGACGCTCAATTCATGGTTGCCACAGACCTTGTGTAAAGAATGCAATGTCTGTGAAGCACAATAAAGTGCAATAAAATGAGAAATGCCTGTATATGTACATATACATGATATATGCACACACCCACACACACAGTACAGGGTCTGACCTCTAGTAATGCCTAGTGATGTTATTACACGTTGAGCATCTCTAATCTAAAAATCAAAATGCCCAAGTGCTTTAAAATTCAGAACTTTTTGAGCACTAACATGATGCTAAAAGGAAATGTTCATTGGAGTGCATTTCAGATTTCAGATATTTTTTATTAGGGTAAGTATATAATGTAAATACTCCAAAATTTGAAGAAAAATTTGAAATCTAAAACACTTCTGATCCCAAGTATTTCAGATAAAGGTTAGCAACCTGTATTGCAAAAAATATTAAGAGGTTTATTTTGTTTTGTTTTACGTCTCCTACCATATTAGTAGTAAACAAAGAAATTCCGTTAAAAGGTATTTACCAAACATTTTGTCATAAACTAAGGTGAATCCAAGAAAGGAGAGATGAAACTGAGATTCAAGCACTACTCTGAATTCTACAAAAGTTCAGACCTTTGGGACCCCAACTCTATTGTTTACTCTGAAGAAATAGTGCTTTTCTCTATCCCAGCCAATGAAGTCTTTGGTCCTAAAACATCTTAAATCACTGTCTCCTATTGGAGTTTCCTTCTACAATAGAGAACACAGGCTCTTCAAAAGCTCAGAGTTCATAACAGTAGGGGTACTCACCCTAGCCTTTCAGTAGCACTGAAAGAACTTTCATTCTGTCAGTCCCTACACTCTTTGAGCTCTGAGAATGTAAAACTCAATTTTCAGACTCTGCCGGTTGGCACCTCATTCCATTCCTTTCTCTACTCTGAGCTCTCCAAGAATCTGACTGGTTTTCTTCTTTTTACTTTGATGATTCTTCCTGTACATTCTCTAACCTAATGATGGATCACACGGCCTCAGGCCCAACCTTCTCCCCTTTAAACCAAATTGTTTGGCTCAGCTTATCACGGGGAGAGGATCTTAGCTTAGTCTGTAGATAGTGGCTAAGTTAATGACGGAGGAGATGATTAAATGAGATTAGAACTGACCTTAGCCATGTCTGATTTTATAGCTAGCAACCATTGGATCCTTACTGTCATCTAGCGCTTTCCTTTCCTCTGTTGCTGTCCTCAACACCAATTCCCCTCCTTTCCACCATGTCACAGAAGGAGAAAATGAATGTGAGAGGCAGGAGTCTCGCTCAGTGTTTAAATGTCAAGTTAGTTACACTAGATTGTGCAAGACGATGATGACATTTGGGTCAAGGATGTTACAGAAGATGTCTGTGAAATGTTAAAAAGATCAGGCAAATCAGCCTGTGGTTTTATAATCTTTTCCATTTGATCTTCTCTCTCAAGTTGGACCTGGTTGCAGTCTGCAATGAAAATTGGACCAGGTTGAAATTTGAGATTAAAAAAAAAAGAAGGAAATATTTTTCTGAAGTTGGTATACTAGTTCAGTTCAATGTGTTTATTATATCAAAATTACTTTTTTCTGACTTCGTGTTTTATATGTCAAACAGAAAAACTAATCATGTTTTAGACCAGCATTTCAATAGAACTTTAATGTTCTGTGTGTACACTGTTCAATATGATGGTAACCACTAACCACATGGCTACTATATTGAACTGAATAGCTTTAGACCAAAATACCCAAATGTGTTTCTGGGTCTTTTTTTTCAAGGTTCTGCTTTTACATTTGTGACAGGAATTAAAATCCAACTCTGCTCATTCCTGAGAGTGAATGTAAGGTAATATAGGTGAATTATTTCAGGTCTGATTGTTAACTATAAAAATGTATAACAGTTATTCATTTTTTAAATAAATATTTCCTAAACAGTTTCTGTCTGGGCAAGTCATTTTCTAGGGCTTGGTTTTCTTAACAGTAAAAATCTTAGAAAAAGGCACTTTAATGCGCCCCTTCTACCTTCTTTTGACGTGAACAGAACCACATTTTCAAATTTTTTTGTTAACTGCCATTTGTACTCTATGATATTATTTGACCTGTGTTAAAGATGTTTGTTACTGCAGTATTTTGTGCTAACAAAAATTAGGCCATCTCTCCAAAGATGATATGTATAGAGCTTACCATTGTTTTCATTTTGTAGCTACCAGGTGCAGGGTACTAAAACATTTAAAAGTAGAAAATGCACCAATTGTAAACCGATTTGACTATGCACAGTGCAAGAAACTGAACATGGATCAGGTACTAGACCAGATACTAAGAATGCCACCCGAGAGAAACCGCATCATATACCTACGCCCAATGCAGCAGGTAACGAGCTTTACTCCTTTCCGATGATACACATATTGTGATTTTTTTTTTTTTTTTTAGTCTTTAGCCTTTTGGATTTGGCATTCATTCACTTCCAACCTACAGTAATGATATTTTAGTTTTTACAAGTTACATGTGATGCAGGGAGTTGTTATTCAACAGGTTTTTATACTTATTAAAAGTTACTTGTGGTTAAGAACACAGTCTCTGGTTCAGACTGCCTGATTAAATTTCTGGCTGTCTGACCTGTAGCAGATTATTTGACTTCTATGTCTTAGTTTCTTCATCTGTAAAATTAGAATAATAATGATATACCAAGGATTATTGTGATATTTAATATATGTGAAACTCTAAAACAGGTGGTAGTATATAGTAAGCCATCATATAACTACTATTAGTGTCATTATCATTATTAAGAGTATATTGTTTATAAGGTTCTGTGCTTAATGCCAAAAGAGGGTTTAAAGGAAATTTTAAATCAGTCTGGCCTCAAAAGAGTCAGGTCATCATATTGTCAAGTGTCTCAAAACTTAGAATATGCCGGGTGCGAAAAAATACACAACACATGATCCTTCCCTCAAGGAGTTTGCCTTCCCAAAAGGGAGATAAACACATATGCCACTGAGATGGCAGAGTGAGATTTCGTAACTAGAGATGGGAGAGGGGTATGCCATGAGAAAACAGCAATGTTATCAAAGGCTCCTAGAAGACAAGAAAATGCATTCTCTCTTAAAGACTGGGCAGCAGTCCCATTTCAATAGGGTATATGTTACTACTCATTCACAGTTCTATAATGCAGTCAGGACTTAATAAAGGACATACCCAGAAGTAGATTCTGAGTTTACTGACATCATTTATCTCAATCAGGATTCTCTGGTTTACTAAGCTTTTAAATATAACAGTGAGATATAAATTGCCAAGTTCCCTAGACAGAAGAGTTTGCAAAATTATTCCCAGCATGACAAACTGTTTTCAGGTCTGTATGTGACTATTTGATTTTCAAATCAGCCAGAGATTTCAAAACGGAAGGTCCGTGGAAAGATTGTTGAAGCTCTAGGAGAGAGATTTCTAAGGCATTCTCTTTGTTGAAGGTGTCTCTTTATGATGTCTTCCGCAGGTGGACACGCTAACTTTGGAGCAGAAGCTGTTTAGTGGTCCCTACCCCTATCACATCTGTATTATCCATGAATTCAGCAACCCTCCCAATGTCCGGAATAAGGTGCGCATTCGCAGCTGGATGGACACTATAGCAAACATCAATCAGTAAGTAACTCTGTGGCCCCTAAAGGCCTTTTTAGTCATTTCTCATAGCAGGGACTTCCAGAAGCAAATCCCAATTTTTCTTTATTTTAAATGATTCCATCTAAGCTTTTCAGACAAGCTTATCCTGAAGTTAACATAAGTGAGAAACTGAGGGAAACGAGGACTTAAAAGTTGACATAAGTGAGAAACTGAGGGAAACGAGGACTTAAAACTAAAAAGCATATGTATATATTTATGATCTTTAAAACTCAGATAAAAATTACAAGGAAAAATTGTACATGTACTTGTAACATTATTTAGCCTTGGGGCATGAAAAAAGAGATCAATTTGAAGAAGATCTTAAGACTATGATATTTTATATCATCAGAAAATTTGACTTTTGTATATTTGTTATATTAATGTTGCATTCAGCACCTTTTGTGTAGAAGATATGTGCTTAGAAAGTGACTTTCTTTCCCTGATATGATTTTGAAGACAGTGAAGAAAGTAGTTTTGACCTGACTACACTTGGATTCTCTAGTTTGATTGTATCCTACTTCTGTTAGGTATTTAATACTTTAAGATGTTTGGTAGAATCTGTGTCCGAAACAGTTTTGATAGTTCCTTCCTACCCAACACTCTAATTATTTCCAGTTTTGTAATTTTTACTTAATTTCTCCTGTTGCCTCCAGAGAGCTCATTAAATATGAATTCTTCCCTGAAGCCACTCGAAGTGAAGAAGACTTAAAGAAATACCCCAAGTACCCCTGGGGGAGAGAAATCTATACTTTAGAAGGTATTTACAAATATTTAGAAAGTTAAATAGCCTGTGCAGTAGCTTGCCCCTGTAATCCCAGCGACTCAGGAGGCTAAGGTGGGACGATCCCTTGAGCCCAAGAGTTCAAGACCAGCCTGGGAAACAAAACATGGCCCTTTCTCATTCACGAATGAATGAATGATCCATCAATCAATTAGTCAAACTGGTTTGGGCTTACAGCAAGCAGTAACCCAAATGTAGAGAACTATACTTTTTTTAAAAAGGAAAAGTTAAATAGCTATTAACTAGATGACTGGACATGCCTTAGGGAAGATATGAATGGGAGTCTTACAGTTCTTCAAAACATGGATGATTTTAATACCTGCAAGAAGTGGGAGCCAGATGAATATTGCTTTGCCTGTATGAGTCTTTACTATTTCTAGGACAATCAGAACCAGTGGTGAAACATAAAACATAAACAAAAATTACAAATTACTGTAGTTTGATAGCTGGAAATGATTTGAGGACACCTGACTCACTCTCTTTATTTTATATTTTACATTCTGCTTACAAAATACTGCAGAATTTGGCTCTATCAGCACTTCCACGCCAGTTAGCAGTGTTACATTTGTCGTCTTTTAGGTGTTGTGGATGGAGCTCCATATTCCATGATTTCTGACTTCCCTTGGCTGAGGTCATTACGAGCAGCAGAGCCCAACAGCTTCGCTCGATACGACTTTGAAGATGATGAAGAAAGTAATTATGACCTGACTTGACATCTATTCTCTAGTTTAAGTATAGCCTACTGTGTTACATACTTAATATCTTTTTGTGAGTTAGGAGTAGTGCAGTGTTAAATGGTTTCCCATATAAATGTTTTTTATTTACTCACTTCAAAACAGTTCTTTATTTGTACAATAGATGTTCAGTGGACTTACTAGGGATATATAAAGGCTGGTAGAAAGGATTCCCTTGGACAGATTTTCCTGTGTGGAAACTTATAATTTAGGTGTAGAAATTTGGGGAGAAATTTTTGAATGTAGTTTCTCTAAGTGGTAGCATACTTGAATATTTATTGTTAACCAAAGTGTTAAGAAAATACTTTATAAGGAAATGGATTTTATGAACTACATGTACACGTGTCTGACTTACCTTTGGTATAGTATTTTTACCTTGAGACTTTAAGCATGTACGCTGTCTTAGGCATCAAACATAAGAACAAACTGGTGGTGACCCATTCCTTCAGCTATTCATACGTCAGTTACATTATAGTGCAGTATATGGGAATATCCTATGGACCAGCTTATCAGTGATTTTCCAAATGATTCTGATTATCATATGTATCTCTCCTTTTATTTCTAATTTCGAAGGCACTATCTATGCTCCTAGAAGGAAAGGACAGCTGTCTGCAGACATCTGTATGGAAACAATAGGAGAGGAAATTTCAGAGATGCGTCAGATGAAGAAGGGTGTATTTCAGCGAGTAGTGGCAATTTTTATCCACTATTGTGATGTCAATGGAGAGCCAGTTGAAGATGACTACATTTAATTGGTCCCTCCTCCTTTCCAGCTATTTTGTCAGAAAGCAAGTAGGACCATCCCGCTGCCAGAGTGCTCCACAGAGACTTGAGGCATGCAGTTGGGAGGTCCTGGCTCAGTTTGCTATATAGGGAATGTATAAGGAACATCGAAATTGTATACAAAGATTTGTACATAAAAAATATACAAAGACGCTTCCTAAAGTACCAACTTTATATCATATGTTTATACAGTTTAATTTAAAAATTCATTTTAATGAAGACAGATAATTTGAAAGACTTTTGTTTTTCTTGACTTAATTCATAAAGTATCATTTTTTGACTGAGTCTCCATTTACTTCATTCTTAATGATTATTGTCATCCCTTTAAATCTGTGCCTTTTTCTTCTTGAGCGAAGCTGTTTGAGTAAACCTGTTGAAGAGTGTTTGTGTCTTGTGTGCTTTTTTGTTGTTACTAAAACACCAACTAAACCTTATAGTCAGACAAGGCTATATATGTTTCTGTACAAAGCTGTAGTTCTTTCTTAGTATTATAGTTGCCATGTTTCTTAAAATCAAGTAAAAAGACTTATGAGCTTAAAAAAAAGTGAGTTTGAGAGGGAAATGGAAAAGTTTCCAAAGTATTTCTAGTAATTTATTTCCACATTGAATTGTGTATATGCTTTATCTTAAATATAAAATAAAAGTTTATTAAAAACTTTTCTCTTGCCTTGGACCTGAATCCCTCTTTTTAAAGAAGAGTAGCAAATACTGCTCAGAAAAGCAGTGTATATATAGAGTTGTATCTAAGTAAGATTCCAGTGTAATCCAATTTCTGATCTCTGAAAGTTTTTAGCTACAAGATGTTCAACTCACAGAACTTTTTTTGTTTGTTTGTTTTGGTTTGGTTTTTTTTTTGAGATGGAGTTTCACTCTTGTTGCCCAGGCTGGAGTACAATGGCATGATCTCGGCTCACTGCAACTGTCTCCCGGGTTCAAGTGATGCTCCTCTCTCAGCCTCCTGAGTAGCTGGGATTATAGGCGCCCGCCACTATGCCTAGCTAATTTTTGGTATTTTTAGTAAAGGCAGGATTTCACCGTGTTGGCCAGGCTGGTCTGGAACTCCTGACCTCAGGTGATCCGCCTGCCTCAGCCTCCCAAAGTACTAGGATTACAGGCAGAGCTCTTTAAGACAATACTGGGAACAGCAGAATTTTCCAAAATCCTGGTCATCAGGAGGTAGTCTTTCTCCCCTTTCAAGGTGAGGAATTAATTGCCCTGATAAGGCAATGATATACATAGTATTATAGTTTCAAGCAAGGGTTGTCAGCAAAAGCTTAAACACCTATATTTGAGTCATGGCTTTGTGACTTGCCAGCCAAGTGACCTCAGCAAATTACTGAAACTGAAGGCCTGTGGAAAATTTTTATAAATTTTCTCTAAATAGACATGAAATTATGGTCTAAGGTGTAAAGTTTCTTTGAGAATTGTTCAGCCCCTTCATTTAGAAGGTCTTAATTGGAACCCAAGGGGAAAAATTGCTCACCCACGTTTAGGACCTGTTTTTAGGCTAGGTAGGACGATAATCCCAATTTCTTGTTCCAGCTAGGCTACCTCTGTTTTTCATGACAGAAATACAAGGATGCCAGCAAGTTTTTCTAACACTCAAATATTCCACGTTAATCAGTGTCTACCCTTAAAGTTCTCTTTTTTCCCCAGGCTCTGAAAATTCTCATTACATTAGGAAGAGTGATTCAATTAGGTACTTCATTCTGTTGTCTCCTTATTACATTATTTTTAACTCAGCTAACTTATAATTAGACAAGTATGTTTCACTATACAGATTACAACTGTGCTAAGAGGCAGGAAACAAATTACAGAATATCCTAGATATTTCAAAATAATCTGGGATTCCCAACCCTGAACGAAGATAATCTAGGTTTTCACTGTAACCTGTTAACCAAATTATCTAAATAATGCTAACATTAGCCACAAGAGGCCACTGCTTTGTAATTTTTGGCTTAGTCATGTCTTTGTCTAACCTAACCTAAACTGTTAGATCAGTGGAAGTACAGCTGGCAGCGCTACAGTAATTCAAAAGATGCTAAGACTGGAACAACCAAAAAACAATCTGGAAGATGCCAACTACAATAGTCAGTCGGTGAATAGATATATAATACAAAGGGCTGGAGAGTGATCGCTCCACAGCAAGGGTCAGCAAACTCTATCTAGGGCAAGATAGTAAATATTTTAGGCTCAATGGGCCACATTCTCTGTGGCAACTGCACGACTATTGTGAAAGTCATAGATGATATAAACGAATGGGCATGGCTGTATTACAATAAAACTTTATGGACACAAATTTCAATTTCACATAATTTTCACATGTCACAAAATACTACTCTTATAACTCTTTCCCCAGCCATTTACTAAAGTAAAACACCATCCTGAAGGCTCACAGACCAGATTTGGCCCCCAGGCCATGGTTTGGCCACACCTGCCGTAGAAACCTGAGATATCCTATTCATTCATTTAATTATATCACCAGCTGTTGGTGCAGTTCTGTGCCTGGCACACTTTTTAAAGGCTTTAAAAATACTACATGGATGATATATGACTTAATAGCAGTGAGAGAATTGTGTCTCATTGCCAGGTGTGTAGGTCTAACAGTCTCCCTAAATAATAGCTAGTACCACAATTCTTACAGGGACGTCATATGTAGAATCTAAAGACCTGAGTTCAGTTTTTGACTTCCTCAAACAACTGATGGGAGAGCTGGAGATGGTTGGAACCCCTACCCTTGAGCCTCAGTTTTCTCTTCTGTCAAATGGTAACAACTAATAATATAACCACCCACCCCATGGGGCAGTGGTTAGTTTCCAATAGGAGCTGCCAGTAAACTGGACAGTGTGACGCCAGTGGAAGTAGTGTTGCTTCCAATATAATTTATTATGAAAAGAAGTTTGGGTGTCGCCCAGGCTGGAGTGCAGTGGCACGATCTCAGCTCACTGCAACCTCCGCTTCCTGGTTCAAGCGATTCTCCTGCCTCAGCCTTTCGAGTAGCTGGGATTATAGGCACCCGCCACCATGCCAGGCTAATTTTTGTATATTTAGTAGAGACGGGGTTTCATCATGTTGGCCAGGCTGGTCTCAAACTCCTGACCTCAGGTGATCCACCCACTCAGCCTCCCAAAGTGATGGGATTACAGGCCTGAGCCTCCGTGCCCGGCCAAGTTTCATTTTTTTTGTTTGTTTGTTTGTGGGGGGGGGAGGCGGGTGCTGTGGGGGGTTTTTCTGGACTCAACTTTCCATAACCTGTTCCTCATACCATATTCCAGGATGGTAGGAAACAGAACTGGTGAAGCTGTTGAGAAAGAGGAAATCATGACAGCATGAAAGCTAGCATTTTTAAAAGTGATTATTACTAAGTGCTTTCCATACCTCCTGCAATAACATTTCAAATGTATGATCAATATGTTCCTACTTTACTGGTGAGAAAACTAGGTTTTAGGAGGTTACATAACTTGCTCAAAAGCACACATCTAGGAATTGATGGGAGCAGGATGCCGTCAAAGGATACGTCCTGCGGGATGAGTCCAAAGCCTGTGCAACTTGGGCAGTTCCCTGGTCCTTCATAATGAGAGGAGGCCCATATAAGGGTGGGCCTGCCCTAATAGGGAAACTGCCAAGTCAACTTACTGCTGCCACTTAAACTGAAACCACTCCAACTATGGTTAGCATAGTCCCAGAAAAACAGGCTGATTTTCTGATGCAGGAAATGCGCCATTTACACATGGGAGGCAAGTAGAATGCAAAAGAAACACTGGAATCCATACAATGTCTATAGCATGAGATGCATATGCAGCAGCTAAAAAAATTATATGTGTTAATGTGAAATGATGTTTAGAGTACACCATTGGAAAGGCAAGTAGCGGATTATTATATATCAACATCATTTTATTTACATATAAGAAACAAAGCCATATGTTTTATATGTACATTTATACATATGTAAATGCATAGAAAATGTTCTTGAATTACATAAGCCAAGTGAAAAGAGCATTTACTTCTGGAGATGGGAGTAGGATTGAGTTGGAGTCAAGGGGTATTTTGTTGTATCTATTAATACATAACAAGAAATTTTTACAGTGGAAATGGATTGCATAAATACATCATTTGTGTAACCTATAATTTATATAGTTTAAAAATGTACAATTTATATATTTAGAAATAAGATAAACTTGAAGAAGAAGGAAGCACGTTGTTAGAACTGAGAAATCTGAATGTTTTCAGTCTTGACTTCAGCCTGATGTCAGCTGTTGTTCTTGGACAAATCACTTTCCTGACAAAGTCTTTTCTCTTCTATAAAATGAAGTCAACAATCCCTCTTTATACGTTGTTATGGGAGGCTTAGAGATCTTATAAAAGTGCAGAGAAACTGCACAAAGCTTGCAATGGTAGACTTATGCTTACTGAGACCAATGGGAGCATATCCAAATAGTGTTCCAGGTTCCAACCCAGCAATGTGGGGAAGGCAAACCGCCTTCTGCAGGGGCCACTCCTACTATAAGCAGCCTTCCTGATGGCCTGGAATATAAAGGACCAATGCCTTCTTTGACTCACATATCTCATTCTCACAGTCTATTGCTGGTTACTCAGTAATCCCAGGTTGCTGAATACTAGACAGACTATAAAAGATCATTGCAGAAGGGCCTTTCCTGCTGATCAATCATTTACCAGAATCTTCCATGGTTTAAAGATGGAAGTTGAGGCTCAGGGAGTGGAAGCAAGAGCAAAGGAAAACAAGAAAGCAAGTGAGTGGCAGAGTTCAGACTGGAATAGGCATGTCCAGAGTTCCTTTTCGGGTCCCAGGCTGATGTGGGGAGGAAAATTCTTAAGCAACATTGTTCATTGCTCTCTCCTAGCCGTGTCTAGGTGAAGCTGGAATACATATATCCCCATAATGAACACAGTTGCACATGCTTAGGACTGTGGGCCTTATTTCGAATAAGACTGCTTGGGTTTGCATTTCAAATCCACACTTCCCAGGTCTGCTCCCTTGGGCTAGTCACCAGATGTCTCAGCTGAGGTTTGCTCACCTGTAAAGTGGGGGTAATTTTCATACTAATCTTGTAAGGATTTCCTAAGGATTAAATGAAATAATTCATATAAAGCACTTACCACAATGCCTAGCAGAAAAAAAAGCTCATTAAATATCAGTTTCTCTTATTGCTATTTTATTATTTTTTTATTAACAAAGATATAGATCTGGGGCAAGCTGAAAGGAAAGGTAAAGAAGGAGAAACCTAATCTGAATCCACTATAACAGTAGTTAAAAATATATGCAGTTTCTTATCCTTTCTCTCCATGTTTCCAAAAGTGTGGAATGCAGCTTGTAGCTAAATCACAATAACTAGTAAAGTTTGGAAGCTCCTCTTTTGTAAATTCTCTTTTGACCCTCCCAGTTAACTGAAAGAGCCCCATGCAAGAGGTAGGGCATTTCTAACAACTCTCCAACACTCACTTGTCTCCCTTTTAAACACAGAAACAGAGGACGCACTCTGATCGCTGGCATCTAGTTAAAACGCAATACCCTTGTTTTCTATTTTGAGTACTGTTATAATGTTCCCTTCAAAAATAAATTTAGGTAAGTGAAAACTTGAATGGACTCAAATAAAGATATTAAGTAGGTAACAGAACAGACAGAACATATATTTGGTAAAAATCCTAACAGTGGCCCTTGGATGACCCATGTTGGAGCACTCACAACAATCTTACAAACTCAGAAATTATCTCTATTTTGTTGATGAGACAAGTAAAGGTAAGCGTTGGATAAGGCCCAAGGCAACACATTGTTCATACTTAGGACTTCAAATCCATTCCTGAATTGTTTGAATTCAAACCGAATATTCAGCCTCAGTTTTCTAAATTAGATGGAAAAGAGATTACAAATTTTGGCCAGAAGAGGTAAATGCACTAGTCTTTTTTTCCTTCCCAGACTAGGTGTTACAGAATTTTTACCACAGCAAAGTGAAGAGACAAAAAGAGAGGAGTGACAATGTTCTCTCACCAAAGAGAGATCCAATACCAAAGAGATAAATGGGTAGACAGCACAGCACCAAGAAGACATTATTTTTGTTCTTGCTTGAAGAAAATGTTAAAGGCAATGTAGTTATATCCACTCCCCAGTCCCTCCCTAGGTCCCCTGCCTCATCCACCCCATGCCCACCCCGCACTCCCAGCTAGGTGGCAATTTGCATCAGGACTGAGCAAGTTAGCAGCATGAAGTGGAAATGTTGGCGAGACAAGAAGGTGGAGTCTCAGAAGGAAAAGGTTTTTTTACAAGCACATACTTGGGTACCAGTTGAAGAAGTTGGTTTTTATTTCTTTTGCTTTCTAGCTGGTAATGGTGAAGGCTAGAATGGTACATCCCTCTCTAGTTTCAGAGCTGAGGAGTCTTGCAGCCTGGAGAGTCAAGTGGAGAGCATGCACAGTGAAATTCCTTCCTCCCAGACATGGGACACTCTGATTGCAGCATTTATCAACCCCAGTGATTGTCAAGGCCAATCTGGCAGACATGTCTGCAGCACATCATCCTCTTCCCCAGATGTTTCTCTTCTTGACACAGCAGTTTTCCTGGAAGAGGGTGGCCTTCTTAGAGAAAAGGGCAAGGTATAGGTCTCCTCCTTCCTTGGACAAGCTCTAAGTCTTCTCCTTCTGAGTCTTTCATACACATGCTAAATTACCTGGATTCCTAGGCAAGGCTAGCAACTGCTCACACAGAACAAGTCTGGCCCTGTCCTGTAAATCACCAATGTTGGCATTTGATGAATCACTCACAGCATCCCAGCCCTAGTCCAAAGTGGTAACAAAGCAATCTTGTGAGGCTCTCCTCTGCAAAGGAGACCAGTTTCTTGACAATGACAAGGAGTACTATTCTTGCAATTGCTGTCTTTTCCCTGGTCTAGGGTGCCTGTGACCTCTACAGACACCAATCATGAGCTGGCCCACAGAAGCACATCTAGAGAGTTAAGAAGAGTCCCATGATATAGCAAGATCTCATTTTCCTCCCTATGTTATAATCTTTGTGTCTCTATTGAATCCAAGTTCCCATTTAATATGGAAGACCTGCCACTGAGAAATAATATTTTACAAAAGCAGATATACTTACTAAGCTCCTGGGAAGAGAAGCATTTCATAAGGAAGAAATCCTACTGTAGTTATGTATATGTGTATGCATGTATGTATTAAGTAGTAGATCCTGTCAACATTGGTGGCATTAAACAAAAGTTTACCAGCTACCTCAAAGCACTATTATCTAATTCTTATGATCCCTGTTTCAGTCCTTCCCTAAGAAATGCTTTGTTGTTGAGGAGAAGAGAGACCATTTTCAGAAAGGAGAACTGTGGACTTCCAAATTCACTAATCTTTGCCTTTTCCATGAAAAAGAGAAGAAAGAGAATCCACTCTGAGGAGGGATGGGTATTAATCATCAACACAGGGAGGTCCCATCAGTGTGGTGACCAACATTCCTTAGTTTGTCCGGGACCGTGGAGTTTCCTAAGATGAGGGACTTGAGTGTTAAAACTAGAAGGGTGATCACCCTAGTCTCCTCTGTGGTGTCTGACCATCCCTTCTCACCATACCTGGTCACAGAAAGAAGAGAGAGGGCTGGTAAATGGGTTTCTACCTTCATGGAAGAAATAAGGGTTAAGGAGGCAATTGTGGCATCTGACATCAGTTAGGAAGAAGAAGGATCAATAGACCAAGTAGAAGGGCACAGAGAACTTGTGAGGTTTAAACTCCTGGCACATCTTTATCTTGCTGTTAAACTCCTGGCATGTCCTCAATCAGAAGCGTGTTACATATGAACCTCAACGTCACTCACATGCCCTGTTACCTTTGTCTCACTAAGGGAGGACCAGTAATAAATCCTTTCAATAGGGTTTTAAAAAATCAACTGAGCAGCCAAAAGAAAGGCCTCTTTAAAAAATTGCCCTCACATCCTCAAACTGCGTATATAATTTACCTCAAGATGAAGGAAGATGGTGATTGCTTTGACTGAGAAAGAGAAGCATCTGCATAGATATTTCGAGAGGATGAGATGCTGATAAAGGGTGAAAAAAAGTCAGCTTCCCTCCCAGACTCTGGGTTATAAGGTCATCCTCAATCAACATTCTCAGGAAAGAAGTAAGATCCCTTTTCCATTTCCATAGAAATTAAATGAATTCCTAATGACCTCAACATCAATATGCCAATAAGAAAATGTCAACTTTAAACTTACACACATGTGTGCATGCATACATGCACATCAGAAAAGCTGCAAAGATGCCTTTTAGTAATGACTCTGAAGCCAAAACCTAAGTGGAGTCTCCAAAACCTATTCCCAAGGAGGAGAAGAAGGAAAATATTCATGGCTATAAGCCAAAAATCTTGGCATTTCACTTGTCACTATGTCAATGCTTCTAGATAGACATCTTGGCATTGATATCAATCTAACTTTATCAGAAGAACCATGATTAATTCACCCACCAAAGCATGTCCAGAAGAAGATGGCCACAACGGAGAGGAAATTGGAAATGTTCAGTTTATAAAAAAGACTGACAGGCATGGTGACAGATTACTCTCTTCCAGTATTTAAGGGCTCTCAGGGGTAAGTGGGGGCTAACTGCATGGAAGTAGGAGCAGCAACAGGTTTGTGTTCCAAGAAAGGAAAGAAATTCCTTATAATTAGAGCTTCTCCAAAATAAAAGGGCCTGAATTAGGAGGTAGTGAGCTCCTGTCCCTGGAGGTGTATAAGCAGAGATTGACCAACTTTCAGGGATGCAATAGAAGATGCTATTCCTGCTTTGCATGGGAGACTGAATCTGACGATGCCTGAAGTTCCTTGACAACTCTGAAATCCTCGATGGTCTGGCCTCAGGTCCCCCCGGCCCAACACTGTCCTCCATATACCTCCCCTGGGCTCTCAGCCCCTACTGCCTTGTGCCTCACTGGTGGTGATGAGGATCAGGAGTGATGCCAGGGTGACCTGTTCATGCAAACATGAATGGGAATGAATGGCTAAGTTGTGAGCCATGTCCTCAGTCAGAAGCATGATTCCAGGGATTCTGGGTCATTGTGTATGGGCAGTTTCTCGAGTTCCTGATGATGTCCACTGTGCAGAACGGTGTACCTAGAAAGGAAGGAAAGAAGGCATGAGAATTCAACAGGCATACTTCAACTGCACCAAAGTCAAGAGCACTCCTTCTACTCTTGACTTCCTTTCTTTGCATACTTCTGAGGATATGGTGAAGTGGGAGTAGGGGTGGGGTGATACTTCATAGAGATAGAACACCAAACGAACTGCACCCAGATTGCTCTTATTAAAAGTGGAGAAACAGTCCTGGAGGAAACGACAGGCCTAGGAGTCCCCACGGGGTAAGTGGCGGAGCTGGTACAAGAACCCAGATTTCTTACTGCCAACAAAGCCTGGGGTGGTTGTGTCACTCATCAGAATGAACCCTATGTACCTCCTCAGGCTATACCTCAATATGCTTACGTCCTATCTAGGAGATAGTTTTGGGTTCTGACTGCTGACTGAGTTGAATAAACCACTCAGAGCCTGAAATACAATGTAACTCTATTTGTTACTTTGATTCCTTTTGGTGCCATTTGGAACAGTAAATCAATTAGATGAATCAAATAGCAAGTTGACTCTAAGCACCACGGTGAAATTTACTACTTGACAAGTGTTTATTACTTTTCTGCAGTGTCACACACTAGCACTCAATATCTTAATTGCCTTTAAATGCATCTCAATTGCAGGCGAGTCTCAGCATCAGTTACCCAGATTCCAGCATCTGGCAGCCATTCCTATGAAATTTCTACAGATTTTAGAAGCATGATCACCACTCATTTCTCTGAAGCCAGTGTCAAGCACTTTCAGGTAGACAAACAAACAAATACTGGTCAGCTATTTGGCATCATATGTTGACAAAACAACTTGGTGGTTGCTTCTCATGATTTATATTGATGCTTTGCTTTGAATTACAATAATTTATTATTGATTTGTATTGACCAGCTGGTTTGTACTAAGCCCTCTCCACAAATTACTTTATTTAATACCCCTAATAGCCCTATGAGATAGTATCATTTTCATTTTACAGGTGAGCAAAATGACGCATAGTCAAGTTTAGTGATGCCCACGGGAATATAGGTCATACATGAAGATACATCCAATCAAACCCACTCTAGCTCATGCCAATACCCATGTGCTTAACTGGTTCTCACATAGCCCATGGACTAGGTACAAGTCTAGAAAAGTGGTTCTTCCCCAGGGGCCATTTTAGAAGCATTTTTGTTTGTCACTGAAGAGGTAGTGCTGCTGGCACCTAGCGGGTAGGGACCGAGGATGCTGATCAATGTTGTACAATACATAGCACAGCCTCCCACAACAAAGAAGTATCTGGCCCAAAATGTCAACAGTGCCAGGACTGAGAAACCCTAATCTAGAATAACTAGTCCCTTTAGCTGGCTAGAAGCAGGTGTTAATTGAAGAACAGGGCCTCGGTGAAGAGCTTGAGTCTGAGCTTTCACAGAACCATCCACCACAGCTGCTGTTGAGAGAGAGCTGAGCCAAGTCGATGTGACATACAGAACCAAAGCATCTGCTACTACTGGCCAGATAGGTCAGTGTTAAGAATAAAATGAGAAAGGAGATAGAAAGGGCCAGATCAGCTACCATTAACTAGGGTGGCCAGGAAAGGTCCCAGTGAGATATGCAAGACCTTAGGGAAGCTAGAGTCCCAGCTAGACACTCAGCCTCCAAACCACGCCTTGCATACTTGGCTTTGCCATTCTGCAAACCAAATGTCTGCTTTGTTGGCTGGCCTCTTGTCCAGCTCCATGAACACGGGGTGTCACAGGGCAGAGGAAGCTGGAGGAAGGAAAGGGGCTCACTCCTGTGAGCTTTCTGTCCGCTGTGGTTCCTGTAAACGTCATTCCTGGAATGCTTCTTTGCCCCAGCAGAGTCAGTGCTTTCCTGGAGCGGCAGCTGAGTCCAGGTTAGTCTTTCTGTCTCTTGCAGAACCAGGCTGACAGCAGTCCCTCAGAGACATCAGGTTTATCTGGACCGTCCCTCTTTCTCAGAGGTCTAAGTTTCTGCTCAGTAGGGTCCCTACTCTAAGTGTCTAAGTTTTTGTGATTATTTTATCTATGTCCTCATCCCCAGAGCTAGTAGTTGCTTCCTGCAGTTGCTAACTCCATAATACTTTAGAGCATTCTTTCAGTAGTTAATGACTACATGCTTAGTTAACAACATTTTATGTTAAAATGGTGTTTAAATACCTAGGCTGTTTCTGTCTCCTGACCGAGCCCTGTGAGATATAGTGAGAAATTGAGGCATGTGCCTAACTGGGAAAATAACATTCTCGGTAGAGGGAACAGCAGATGCAAATGTCCTGAGGTTCGATCCTGCCTGGCACATCTGAAGAACCTCAAGGATGCAGCAGGTTGAGGCAGAAAGAGTAAGGGGAGGAATGAAACAGAGTTGACATCAGCAAGGTAGCCAGGACCACGGGGGCGGGGGTGGGCTTGAAAATCCCTGTAAGGCTCTGGCTTTTACTACATGTGAGGGGTCTGAGCAGACCACCGACATGGTCTGAATGGCCTCTCAGCAGACTCCCTCTGGATGCTCTATTGTGAGTATATGGGATGGAGGTAGGGTGTGACCCAATTAGGAGTTTACAGCAATAATCCAGGTGAGAGAAGACAGTGACTTGGTCCAGGAGGTAGCTGTAAAGATGGTGAGGAACGGTCAGACGCTGGATATAGAAATAGAAATACCAGTAGCCAATTTCTGTTGTACTTAATTCTGCAAAAGGTTTAGCCTTCACACCATTTCTCAGACCCTGTCATGTGTGGTTATTTCCCTTGCCTTGTCTCGTCAGCTAGAGGGCTGCGTTATGCAGCATGCTAACCACGACCCTCACTCGAGTCAAGCAAACCTAGTTCCCATCTCAGGCTCTACCACTTGGCATCTTTGTGGCATTTGACAACTTATTTAATCTCTCTATGTGTCACTTTCTATACCTCTGTAACTGAGGGTAATGATACCTACCACATAGCTTTGCTCTGTGGATTAAATAACATAATGTAAGAAAAACATTAACACAGAGTCTGCCACATAGTAGAAGCTCAATATGTTGAAGCTAAAATTATTTTGTTTCTTTTTAATCTTAATTTTACTATTTTATTGAGATTTAAAAGCACCACTTACCAACTTTGTGACATTTGGCAAGTTATTTAATCTCTCTATGCCTCACTTTGCTCCTCTGCATTTAACTAAGAGTATGTAATGTTGATGATGATGATGATGATGATGATAATGATAATGATGACGTACACATAGCCTTAATGGCTTAGAAATATTTTTCTCTTTTATTTCCTTTATGGATGAAACTTAACTGGCCTCAAGATATAGAAGCCTCCCTGACTTTGCCTTTCTCTTCTCCCTTATCAGAATCACAAAGCCCTGTTTTGGCAAATACGCGTACTAAAGCAACACCAATTGATTTCCCTATCCACGGACTCCTTTTATAATCACAGTAAGTCTGCAGGACAGGCACGGCAGGTGATAAGACTGGTATTACACAGAGGAGAGAAGTGAGAGTCAGTGCAGCTGAGTAAGTCTCCTGAGTGTCATGATGGGTGAGCACAGGCCAGGCCAGGACGAAGGCCATGCACCCCTTCCCCACTGCTCTTGCCCCTGAGCAGCATTGCTTAATGACTTACGTATGAGTCTTCAAACAAGGGCTCAGGACCAAACAGCCCTAGGAAATGCGGCTGCACTTCAGTATCTGAGGTGCAGAGATATCCCTGAAGTAGATGTGCAGGAGAAACCCGAATGACAATACTAAGAAATCATAGCTCAATTTATTAAGAAATTAGGATGTGTGCCAGGTACCATTTTTGGTAGTTACATACCTTATATTTCATGTATATAATTTACTTTTGACACCTGCTAAGAGGCAGGTGCTCTACTTAGACTGATCTTACAGATTAGAAAACTGAGGGTCAGAGCAGTTTATCTAAGGTAACAATGTGCATGGTGCCCATGCCCTCAACCTTAGAACACACCGCTAAACCTTTGCCCTGTTTTATGGCTAATAGATCACTTTCACTGGCAAGAAATGACACCTTCTCTTCCACTGAGTTCGCATGAAAAAGGTATTCTAGCTGAGAAGGCAACGAGACATCTGTGACCACGTAAGATGTACTGCCGTGGAATGCAGGCAACCTCTCCAACAGCCTGCTTTTCACACGTCTCTCCTCATAAGCATCTGTTTCTCATGTGCTAATGAGTCACTTGTCAAGAATAACTAGAAAAGAAGTGTGGGAATGGAGTGGATATTCCGAGTGGAGGTTCCCTTTTTCCAGAGGGCAGTTGAAAGGCAACAGCTCTCTGTGGATATGAGAGTAAGCAGATGGGCACATTTTCCAGTTACAGTTGACCATTGAACGATGTAGGAGTTAGGGTTGCTGATCCTCTGTGCAGTTGAAAAATCTGCATATAAGTTTTGACTCCCCCAAAACTTAAATACGGGTAGTTTACTATTGACTGAAAGCCTTACTGATAACATAGTCAGTTAATGCATATTTTGTACCTATAATAAAGTAAGCTACAGAAAAGAAAATGTTATTAAGAAAATCATAAAGAAGAGAGCATATATTTACTATTCGTTTTGTGGAAGTGGACCATCATAACAGTCATCATCCTCGGCATCTTCACATTGAGAAGGCTGTGGAGGAGGAGGATGAAGAGGGGGATTGGTCTTCCTGTCTCAGGGGTGGCAGAGGCAGAAGAAAATCCATGTGTAAATGGACCCACATGGTTCAAATCCATGTTGTTCAAGGCTCAACTGTACAACATTTGAGTGGTTCCTCTCACCATGGCACAGTGGCTGGTAGACACAGGAAGGAGGAAATAGTCCAAGCTTTGCTTGGCGGGAGTCTAGCAGAGTATAAGTACATCCCAACTGGAGTCTGGCTCATAGAGACATACCCTGGGTTTAAGTATTCACAAGTCTCCGTGATTCAAGTACATACACTTTTAAGCTGGTATTTTCACTTTGGTAATAAATAAATAATAGGAGCAGATTTGGGATCACCTGGTTGGCCACCTTATAAACTTAC